CAGCCCCTCCAAGTTCCCCGAGTTCTAACTAAAGGGTGGGAAAGAGGAAAGGTTTGGCACTTGGCAGTCGTCGTTGGTGCCATGGTGGTTGCTTGCTTCCCTTCCCGTCTGCTTGTTTGCCTCGTGTTACCTACCTTACCTACCTCTCTGTAATTACCTTACACAGCAATCACAGCAATTAAGTGCCTCATCCGATACGTCTTGGGTGTGTGTAGCGACAGTAGCGACTGCAGCCAAGCAGGCCTCCCATTGCCCCAAGATACCAGATACCTTAGTATTACCTGATAGTCTCCGTATCGAAGTATCCCATCGGGTGGACGTCTCTGTTTGTCACTCGTGTGTGTGTCGGGCGTACGCTAGCCATTCTTCAGAAAGCACTATCCTCGAGCCGGCCTTGTCTTGCATGTTTCTTCTATTCCTTCTTCCCCCATCCCCCCCCCCCCGTCTTTGTCCTTGTTCCCTCTCTTCCATTTGACCATTTCTCTATTTCTGATCTTGGCTTGGTTCAGCTTTGACCTTGCTTTAGCCTTAAATCCCTCCGTCAGCTTACCTACCTACAAGTACTTACCTCCCCTTGGGTTGTCTTGTCACTTTGCCTGCCGCTTCCATCCTTTTCATAGGCGCGCGCCGCGACACCACACTAAAGCAAAGTCCTGTTTGCCTCGGAGTGTAGGAATTAGACCAAGGAACGTCATGGTCGCATTGGACTTTGCTTACCTCACAGTAGCATGATCCTTTTGGCATTCTTCTTTGGTTCTTCTTCGCGCATCCCAGATCACCTCCCCGTCATCAATTTATCCCGTTACATCTGGAGTCGACGTCTCTCTGCTTGCCAAGCCGGCGCTGGGTAGGGCAAGTTGACAAAGGCCGATGGCGGCCCCGCTGAAGAGACATGGCATCTTGGCGGCTTGGTGAGTGAACGCCCTCATTCCTTGCTGCACTACGTGTACCTTCTACCTGCTATGCGGTCTCAGATGGCATCAGAAAAAGTCTCAAAACCTGCAGCTTTTTGACACAATTTCTCCCATGTCTCGCCTAATTGTATTTGGATTTGCGCCAGTGACATTGCTGACATTAACTCCGTTCCAAGTATTCTACTACTTGCATGCACAGCATGGATATCCTCACGGTTTAACAGCAGCGCTGCTTTTGGTCAGTAAACCCACGGACTCTCTCTACCTCGCCTTGCTTACAGATTACGACATAACCATTGCATGGACGACAATTACTAACACCAAGCAGAGCGGCCAATACACTTCTCCATCTTGACGCTCCTCGAGTCCGGTCTACTCATTGCGATATGGTGCAGACAGATCTCGCCCTGGAAAAGTGCAACCAGCAGCGGGTATCAACTGGCAACCTTTTCAACCTCGAAAAATGACTGGCGAAAACGACTCCAAGCTGGCATCGATGTCGCGCGCAACCCTCGGTTCTTGTTGTCGCCCTATTTCTTCCTAGGATGCGCTATCGTACTGCGATCGCTGCTCTTTTGGCGCACTATCCGCACGATTCACTGCTCTTGGGAGAGCTTCGAGGTTCGTAGACCGAGAGCTGTCGCAATGCTGAAGAATTCCCATGGCCGCGAAGAACTAACACGCCGCGCACAGGTATTCCTCCCAGCTCTTGTCGTCCTTTACACAACGTTTTCTCCCTCCACCATACGACTCCAACAACACAATGGTGACCAAGCTCGATCTCGACGCTGCTGTAATGTTGCTCACTTGCGCTACTTCGTCATCGCCATCGCTTGGGCCTGCGCCACGAGGGCCACTCTCGCCCTATCAACACAGTCGGCCGGCGCAATATGTCCAGCAGGCTTTCTTCGGTGGGAGAGACAGATCCCCATAGCCCAGGTCGTTACTGTCATTTTGGATGCGCTGCTGCTGTTTTACCTGTCGAAATGGCGGCAGGACACTGTGGATGACGCACCGCAGGCTTGGGGATTCGTGTCGAAACTCTTTCTAGGGTCCGCAGGTGTTCTGGCTTTGCTTGCCTGTTTCTCCCTCCATAACGCTCGAAACACCCGTTGGGCGTTTGGACTTCACTTTGTCGAAATCAGAGATCTACTGACGGACAGCACAGTGGCGTCGCTGGGGCTGATATTGGGATTTTATGTCATGAGTGACATGCATCCTAGCACGTTGGGCATGATTGTCACTGCTTCAGGCGTTTATGCCCATCAGCTCGTCCGCATGCTGCACACCGCGCTACCCATGGACGGCTCTCTACCCTACATGATAGCTAGTGGTCTTACGATAGTCGGCGTCGGCCTCCTTTTGCGATACGAGAAGGATATCGCCAGCGCTTCTGGATCTTCGCCGGGAGATCCACGGCTCATTAGGTTTCTCTTGATGTGGTACGTCGTCCTGGTTGGCGTCCTCTGCGGAACCTACCTTATCTTTTACCCGGACTTTAACTCCACCGATACTCTATCCTTCCCCGATCTTCTCTCTGCGGCCAATACCAAATCCGACGCCTGGATCGCGAGAGCGAATCAGAGCTCCACCCTCGAGGTCGCGGCGAAAGAATATCAACAGCGTTATGGTGTGGCACCGCCTCCCAACTTTGATAAGTGGTACGAGTACGCTGTCGCCAACGGTTCGCCCATCATCGACGATTTCAGCCAGATAAACGACGATTTACTCCCGTTTTGGGGCGTTGAGCCGAAGGTCCTGCGAGATCGTACCAAGCATTCCTTGGAGATACCGTGGCTTGGCATTGGAGGCATTCGGATTCGGGGGGGAAAGGTTAACGTGGCTCCCGGTACGCCTGGATCCCACATGTGGATGATGACCTCTATGAAGAACATGATTGAGGACTTTGCCGAGCATCTCCCCGACATGGACCTTGCCATCAACCTGAACGACGAGCCTCGCGTGGCGATCCCTTTCGAAGACATGTCTGGACTTCACGGCGTTGGCTTGGAATCGAGGAGGAAGCTCCTCAATTCGGAGGATCGAAAGACGTTTGACAGATCCAAGTCAGCAGTTTGGGGTGACGACGATGCTGTTAAGGGACCTGAGCAGCGGTCACCCTTCTTCGAAGACCGCATCCGAGATCAAAACTACTACGACTTTGTTGCTCCAACCTGTCCGCCCGACTCGGCCGCCCGGAACACGAGATGGTGGAGTCGTAAAGAGGCGTGCCGTGGATGTCTCCTGCCGCATGCTATCCGCGTCTTTGAGGCGCTCGAGAACCCCGTTGTGTCGAACTGGACCTCAGCTACAGACCTCTGCCACCAACCAGACTTGGCATACCTTCACGGATTTCTATTGTCTCCGGCGCCGGCCCTTTTCACCAGAGATGCGTTTCCCGTGTTCAGTCAAAGCAGGACGTCAGGGTTTGCTGATATATTGGTGCCTTCGCCTTGGAATTACGACGACAAGGCCGCGTACGATGAGAACGAGGACATGGAATGGAGCAAGAAGAAGAACACCATGTTCTGGAGGGGGTCATCGTCGGATGGGTATGCAGCCTGGGGCTCGTGGCAGGGTTTCCTCAGGGCTCGGTTCGTCCAAGCTGCAAATTCGATTATGAGGGTTACGAAACTCCAACAGGATGGTCGGACACTGGTCTTGGGACCGGATGATCTGCCAAATTTTGATGTTGGCTTCGTGAGCAGATGGACCAAGTGTCACCGAGAGGACTGCCAAAGCGAAAAGGATACCTTCTGGGGCATTGGTCAGGACTCCCCCGACAAGTCCCAGGTCCCCTTCACCGACCATTGGAAGTACGCACACCTGATGGACCTCGACGGCGCGGGATTCAGCGGGCGCTTCATCCCCTTCCTCCGCAGCAAGAGTCTCGTATACCGCTCCGGCCTCTTCCGGACTTGGTTCAACGAGAGGGTCCACGCGTGGCGTCACTACGTCCCGGTCGATGTGCGACTCCACGAGCTGTGGGATCTCCTTTCGTACTTTGGAATTGACACGGAAGGCAAGAGGCGAGCAGAGGCCATTGCGGAAGAAGGCAGGGCGTGGAGCCGCAAAGCGCTCCGGAGAGAAGACATGCGTATCTACATGTTTCGGCTACTACTGGAATGGGGACGACTTGTGGACGATGAGCGAGATCAACTTGGTTTTGCGGTTTGATGAAATACCCCTTTTTTCTTGATCTTCATTGCAACACCGGTTCGATAGCATTGGATGCATGGCGTAACTTGGATAAGAACTGGGCATCCGGCGTTGGGTTGATCAGAAGGCTGGCTCATGCTTGACATCCCGTTGATAGAGCATCTAGGGATAACGAGGAACGAACACGATTACAGGTAGCGGCTTTTGGCCACCTGAGGTACATAAATGAGGACATCGCTGTCATGTGGCACTTCAAGTTGGTTCTGTTCAGATCCATCATTGTAAACTGCTAAGGTCTTCTCATCGAAGTTGTTACAGTCGGCTTTCGGTTCAACCTCAGTTGGTTGTGTATAACTACTTCAGTATCGACAACAATCACCTCGCCATCGATGCGCAACTGTGAGTATACCTCGAGATCGATATGGCTAAAGCTCATGGGCCTTGGACTCAGCCATCCTCCATGTACTCAGACCGAAATGACACCACCCACTCAATTCGTCGGTGTCAAGTATCAAAGCCTGTCTAATCGTCATTGCATGGAACGTTATGATTGGGTAAGTGGGCTTGCCGCCCATGCAGAAATGACAGGATAAGCGCCTGCCCAGCCTGCCTTAAACCTGCCTGGTTCCTCCTCCTCCTCCTCCTCCTCCTCCTCCTCGCCATAAGGTCACTCAACACTGAGGCAACCGCAGCAGGCAATACTCTCGGCAGGCTCTCAACGCCATGTGATAAAATTATGCGACAGGGGGTTTAGCTTCGCTCCTGTACCGTGTTGCCCTGGGCGGTGCAAAGACACACCCCAAGCGGGCAGTTTGTTGGTTCCTTTTTTGTAGCCGAACTTAAGCCTGGTCACATTTTCCGATTCCCCTTCAGAGCGATGCTCTTCCAGAATCGCAAACCATCATCTTTCTTGCTGATTTTTTGATCATGGGCTTCAGATCGTGGGTATCGGCACTGTTCAAGTCTAACAAGTCCTCTCCCGGAAATAACGACACTCATCCAGATGCTGGCACCGATTTTCAGACGAGTAGTCCGCACCCCGAGGACACTGCGGGAACGACAGAGGACGATCTTCGGAGCAACTTGAACGCATCATCGAGGCGAGATATCGACTCTACACGAGATCCGGGTAGACGCATTGCACAAGCCGCTGCGAGGAAACAAGATTGTTACGGCCTTAAGATCCTCGTCCCGCAGCCGTCGGACAGGACAGGATGCGTGGACATTGTAGCTATTCACGGGCTCAATGGTCACCGCGAAGAGACATGGATGCATGCCGATACGAGACTGCAGTGGCTGAGCGACTCTTCATGCCTGCCAAAAGACATGCCCACGGCACGAATTTTGACATTCGGCTACAACTCCAAGACCTATTTCAGTCGATCCGAATCAGAGATACCAGACTTTGCCTCCGAATTGCTTTGGGCACTAAAAGCCCAGCGTACAAGCGAAGAAGAAAAACAGCGCCGTATTGTTTTCATTTGCCATAGTCTTGGGGGTCTGGTTTTCAAACAAGTATACGCAGTGTCTTTCTCTTACCCTATCCTCTCTCCTCATTTCCTATGTAACATTTCGCAGGGTTTCGCGGCCCTCCCAAATCGCGTGAAACCTTTTGCTGACTGTTTCAGGCCGTAATCATGGCCCATGAGAAAGATCGCTACTACTCCTGTATCCTGGACCAGATTCATGGTGTGGTTTTCTTCGGTACACCGCACCGTGGCTCCAGCCTGGCCGCATGGGACGAAATCGGCACTCTCATTGTCAAAGCTAGTACACTTGGATACGCAACCAATAGCAAATTATCGAGCAGTTTGAAGGTCGATTCGAAGTTTCTGAGGCGCACATCGGAGTCATTCGCAGCTCGCGGGGAAGACTTCGAAGTTAGAAGCTTCTATGAGAGTGTACGGATGAAGGGTTTGAACTGCAAGGTATCGTAGCAAGCCAGACATCATAGGCCTCCCTACCATGTAGTATGTGTTGAAATTGACAATGAACCTTCAGGTCGTCGAGAAGGAATCGGCCATATTGAATTGGCCAAAGGAGCTGCCCATTGCCTCGAACGCCAATCACTCCGATATCTGCAAGTTCTTGTCACCAGAAGACTCGAGATACAAGGCTGCTTCTCTCGCTATTCGCGAGGTGGTGGGTGACCTAGCATCAGGCATCGATGTTCGTGAGTCTTGCTAAAGGCAGTGCTATTGACTATCATCATGTCGACTAATGTAACCTAAGCGCTCGATCTGCTAGCGATGGCATGCTTAAAAGAACTCAATTCAACCTATGAACACCATCTTGACCAGATAGACGACCCGATAGCCAAGACTTGCGAATGGGTCACATCACACAAGATCTGGAATTTATGGGACTCGGTACCAGGCTCGGCTCTTCTTTGGATCACAGCTGATGCTGGCTGTGGAAAGTCGATAGCGGCGAAGTATCTGGTCGATTTTTTTCAGAAGCGAACCTCCAGAGCATATCTTCATACTCATGTCTGCTACTTCTTCTTCAAGGAAGGACTAGAACACCAGGACAAGGCACACTCGGCCGTGTCAGCGGTCCTTCACCAACTCTTCTCCAAACAACATCGATTAATGCACCATGCCATGGTCAAATACTCTAGTATGCCAAAGAGTAGCTTCAACTGCTTTTCCACACTCTGGTCCATTCTCCTAGCGACAATGGAAGATCCTCACACGAAGAATGTGGTGTGGATACTGGATGGCCTAGATGAGTGCGAAGAGAAATCATTGGACGAGCTCATCAAAGCTCTGGCAGACTTCGTGCAGTCTCGCAACGCGGTCTCCATCAAACGAAGGCCGGCCTGTAAAATCATTCTCCTAAGCCGACCTCTCAACTCTATCGAAAGGAGGTTCGGACTTCGGTCAGGCAATGGTTGCTACAATACTGGCCTACAGTATACCGAAGAGTCTGACACTTTCAGGCTCAGTGCTGAGGAAGAGAGTGGCTCCGTTGCGAAAGATATCGCTCAATTCGTTACATCAAAAATTTCAGATCTTGGTCGACAGTCAGAACTATCTGCCGATATTCTCCATCAACTTGAACAACGGCTTATCAGCAGTGCTGATTACACTTTCCTTTGGGTGTCTTTGGTCATGAATATCGTGAAAGAAGCAGAGGTTGACGGAATTTCAATGGGTCAGATCGAAGCCATCTTGGCCACCACCAGGCTTGAAGACGTCTACGAGAAGCTCCTGTCTGGTCGAGTATTACCTTTGAAGACCAGAAAAGTTTTGCTACTTATCCTTTCCGCCGTTCGCCCACTAACTTTGGATGAGTTATGCGGAGCTGTGGAAGTCAATCAAGACTACCACCAACAGCAAGATTCAGAGGAATCGAAACGAGCGTTGGCCCATTTAGACAGGGCAAACTTGGACAGGATATCTCGAGAGGGTCAGTCCGGTCAAATGAAGAGAACACCAGAACTCGGGGCCGTCCAGAAATCCGAAATCACCGAGGCCACGACAGGCTTACCACCAGTATCCTCACCCCCCACAACTAGTCGAGTCCAGGTGAAGAATAACAAGCAACAAAGAGTTATCATTAGGTCCGGAAGAACAATTACTTCGACCAACCTAATGCAACAACTAGAGAATAACGAAAGAAGAGCCACGAGGGCTATTTCGCTCTGGCCTGAGGCATATCATGAAAGAATCAGTAGACAGCCAAAATTCCAGATGCCAACAGTGTCGAATTTACAAGAGCTGCAAAATCACATGCCCAAGCCGTTCATAAGTCATCTACGAAAAGTTTGTGGCCATTTCGTCAGGATCCGCAATCAAAAAATTTATCTAGTTCACCAGACAGCCCGCCAATTTCTGTTGGATAAACACAGAGAGCTCAAGTTTGGGACGATTTCTCAACGACCAAGGTATTATTTACCCACATACCAAGACCGGCAGAAGCCAGGAAACTCGACACTTATTTCTCAATGGCAACATTCAATCAGTCTAGCGGATGCAAATCTGTACATGCTTCAAGTTTGCGTTGATTACATTGGCCTATTTCGGTCAGCAAAGGCATTCAAGAAGACTGCCTTGAGTAGGCAAGAAGCGAATGCTTATCTCAGAGATTGTCGCAAGGACCCTCCTCGGGCTTTCCTCAGATACGTTTCACGTCATTGGTTAGATCATTACCGACCTGTGCGGGAGGACCTCAAGCTCTCCTATGACTATCTCCTACAGCCGAGTACCCCACAGTTCAACGTATGGATTATCTCCCATAGCTCGTGGATACCGGAAGAACAACGGAGAGTTCTGGAAGTAGGGGGTGTTTCCATCATAAAGGAGGATAAAGAGGAGCTTGGCTTGCCCTCGAGTCTCCCCTTCCAGGCGGCCAACGGTAGGGTCCAAACACTTCAGGCTGATGCCAACATCGGCCCTTCGGAGAAGAAAGAACGGGAACTCCAAGCGGCTCTGCAACATTTCAATCTCATGGGTAACGAGATTGATTTGTACGATGAAGAGTACATTCATGGGAAACGATACTGGAAAGCAAAAGACTACATGGGTTCAGGCGATGCCAGCACCTCAGACGAAGACGAGGAACTTGACAAGGACTTGAAGGAATCGAAGGCAACAATTCCTGATCGTATGCAGTACTATCGCCAACAGCAGAGTCAGCGGGTGGTCGAAAGCATTGCTGAGGGTCGACGCGCAACCTCGGCTTCCATGGCAAATCCGACTTCGTCTCGATCCTGGCTGAGGTGACGATTCCATCGAACTCGAATGCTCACCACCAGACCAGCCGTGGATTAGCTGTAGATATTCAAGCTACTAGACGATGAATGGAGAGACATGGCTTCTTCAAGTCAAAACTGATCATTCCGGCGGCCGAACTCAAGCTGATGCCAGTTTACGAAACGTCATAGGGAAGTTGTGAGGTAGGTGAAAGAATACGAGCAGATGAACGAAGGCGGTTGAGACACTCGTGGTGCTCGCCATTTCCACACATGAACCAAGTCGTGATAGGATTAATGGAATGATTCATTGTAGAGCACATTCGTCACTCGCGGCTGCGAATATGAATTTCACTTCATTAAGAGGCTGAGAGTACCTATACAATCCATCTTACGTTCAACTTTTGCCTACAAAATATCACGACCTACGTGCGATACGTACCGTCTACCACACCAGCTCTGCTTCAATCGGGGTTGTACTCAACGGCTTTCCACCTGCCTACTTCAGAGCAGCGCCTCATACTTGTACGGAAGCCCGGGGAGCTCCACATGAACAGCAACTCCGGCTAACTCAGCACAAGAAGTCAAATGCCACGGCACCCTAAGAGATCCAAGATACCTTCACTTCCTGTCAGGCTCTCCTCTGTGACTCGGGGATGGCGTCTCTGAGACGCGGGGTCGGATTGTTGGGTGTCTCAGCCGCGACGGATGGGGCTGGCGCTGTCTGACAGGAGGCGCGACTCTGAGTGCTTCTGATAGGTAGGTATGCCGGTGACGCCTTGCAGAGGGTGTCAGGTAAGGTGGTAAGCTACAGATCGCACTTCGGACCTGTGCTGAGGTCTCGTCTACAGAAAGCCATGCGAATCTACTTGCGGAGCAAGCCGGGAGATATCAAGCGTATTGCAGCACCTGACGATGAAGCTGTTGAGAACGGCGGCATGTCAGGGTGGCACGAGTGACATCAGAAACGTGATATTCGGGCATTTTTGGGGAGGGAAGTGTATTTTCACATGTCTTCGATATGATCTGCGTTTCTTTCGAGAGGTAAGGCAGCCAAACAGCAACGCAGGTTAGTTGGATACCGTGACATTGAGCCTGCGCTGGGTATCGTTCTGCAGGCTGTCACGAGGCCCTGGACGACATGTATTCTTGATAAGGATATGAATGATAATAGGTGTCAAAGAGGGGCTTGTTTGTTATGCAGCAGGCTGTCTGGGTGAGAAATGGTATTCGTGTATCGTGTGATTGGCGGTCAGGGAAGCGTTGTTCCACGTCTCGGGACTGAGGCGGTGAATAGGAGGTCAAGTATGGACCTGACTGAGACTTGGGGGGATCCTCCGTAGTGGTAATCTGTGACACGATTCGCTGCGATTTTGAACCGGTTTCAACAAGTTCGATTACCTACTTCAAGTGAAGACAGCATGTGAGTAATTAGTGGTAGGCAAGACTGAGAGAAGTGTGAGTAAGGTAGGTATGCTTGAGGCTGTGGCTCTCGCGGATGTCTCATCGAAAACTCGCAACTCGTAAACTCTCCTCGAGTGACATGCTGGAGCTAGAGCTGTCAGTCATCCGGACTAGTACTGGGGTAACCGAGACAAAAGTGTCGTCAGCTGAAAGCCCTACGAGACATGGTCATCTATAACCGCAACAAGCCAAATCTTTCACAAGCTACTGTTGATTGGTGCTACTACGAATCTTCTCCTCTTCTTCTTCGAAGAGACGATGCGAAGCAGATACGGATAGGTACACAACCCTGAATTTCCTCCAAAAAAAAAAAAAAGCTAGGGTGAGTAAACCTGCTTGAGCGTTAGCCCTCCGCGGCCAGACGGGATGAAGGGAATGTTCCGCCTCCAGCCAGTGGCACTGCTAGGCAAACGATCTCTCGCCCCCGAGTCGTGCTTGGTCCGTCAACTCGCAGGACACTTTGCCGAGATGGGGAGGTATCAGCAGAGTGCCAATACCGTCGTTCCCTGATTCCTCTGCAAAGCTAACGGAACGGATATACGTGCTAGCAAGGGGTGAAAAGAAATGTCGTGACCTTTGGAGTAGGTTGTGGCGCCTGTCAGTGGTCACTGCCGCCTCTTCTCGCTATCCTATGGAGGGGAGCAAATCACATGTGAAGGAGGTCGGCCCTGTGGTTCGTGAAAAAGGGCCCGGCCTCGGGTTCGTTAGGAATGAGAAGCGGACGGCACCACACCACAAGTCCACGACAGTAGGCGACGGTGGGCCCGACTTGCACGAGTGCCGCGATGAGCAGTGCAGATTGCAGAAGCGTCGTGCGAATAGCCGTTGTCTGTGGGCCGTGGCCTCTGAGTGATGGATTGAGGAGGCATACTTTTGCCCCTGGCGTGCTCTTCGTCTACTGCCAGAACGGATATCATTCCAGGCTGGGCGGGAGACGGAGCAGGATCAATATCGAACAATTACCATGTGATAATTGAAAATTGGCTGTAAGCAGCAGAGAGACCTTACCAACAAGCTACTTGCCAGCTTGTCCCAATCCTTGTCCCCCGTGTAATTGAGTATGTTGGGATTGGTCCTTGGGGATCTCGATGGTCTCAGCGTTAGGTGGAACTGAAACCTCGATAGAAGGTCTCCACGATAATCGGGATTCTGAAAAGGCGATGGAGCTTTGTTTCCCAGTCCACTGAATATCATAATGGCCGGCATTGCTGTGTGCTTTCACCGCAAGGTATCCATCGGATGTGAAGATTCAAGGCTCAAGAAGGAATCAAGACTGGCGTGTGCTAAAGTTCCCGAGGTACGTATCCCTAGGAAGAGAGCAGGAAGTCACGACTTGTGAGAGCAAAGACCGGGGATTCATCCGTCTGAGTGGGGTTCTGTCAGTACGTACCAATGAAGCTCTGCCATCGCGACAAGGCCCTGCCCTGGACTGCAACCATCTCAACAAATTTGAACCCCAACAGAAAATTTCAAGGGCAGTAAATGAAAAATAAAAATAAAAGAGTAATAGAGGGGGGGAAAGGGAGTGACTGATCTTCACAGCGCTACCTACAGAAGCGAAGCAGGCAAAAACCGGACCCTGGAATGCCATGATGCTTCCAGAAAACGGCGTTCCCACCCTTGTTTCAGGGTCTTTACGTCCTGTTCAAGCTGTGAGCTGTGGAGGTCGTCGAGCGACTCGATCCTGGGTCGTTTCATCCTCTGTCTCGCGGGTTTGCCCGAGGCAAGTCGAGTAGAGTCTAGTCCAACTGCCGTATTCTCTATCATCGGTCTCCCGTTGTGCATTGCGAAATTCCGGTGTGGAAATTGAATGCCATGCGAAGCGATTCAGAAATGTTGCCAGCTGGTGAGAGGTTCATCTTTGGCCACTTTCTTTCCTTGGACGTCGTCGACGAAAGCGAGGGCGTCAATTCAAGATTCAAATCCCTTCCCCAGCTGCGGGCCCTTGATTGGCTAGCCGCGTCAGCAACTTGCTCTACTCCCGATTGGCTGGAGCAGGCTGAAGACGTTGCTGGCCAATCGTGAGGCTCCAGTCTGTCGCGTCTTCCCAGTCCGCTCTGCTTTCCGCTGCTTCGTTCGTGGGGTTGAAAGAATGGGAACAGAAAACATGGAGGACCACTTCCTTGCGTGCAGAGGTACGTATACTTTGCTCATCCCTGTCATCCCACCAAGAAGCGTGGGGAACCCGGGTACGTACTGCCGTCCCTGAAGGCTGAACGACGGCGGGCACCTTCTATCGATCGTATCCCCAACTATGCCTGGATCCTGTCAACAATTCGAAATCCAGCATGTTGGCCCTGGCCTACTGCGACGCAAGAGGAGTCTCCGCCGTGTACTTATATCAAGTCTCGCCCCAGAGACATCCCACAATGAAGTAAAATCTCCTGATCGCGAATTAGTTGGAGGAAGTCGGCGGAAAGGACTTCTCAACGCACGGCAACCAATGTACAGAGTGACTGCTGCGGTGCGGTTTTCGGGCATGTGGTGAGATCAAAACGGACCAGAATTGCTGTCGCTGGTCGAATGGTGCAGGGTTGGGGGCGGTTGTTGATCTGACTCGATATTGGCTAAGCTGCCACACCACCGCCGTCTACGACTGGAGGATTTTCCGATCTGAATCTTGCCCCGAACAAGCGCCATCTTCACATGCACGGACGAACGCCGGTTTGTGCCAAACGTAGGCGACATTTGCGTGAGTGACTGGTGGGCGCGCGGTGACTGCACCACCTTCAAGAACAAGGCCAATCGACAGTCTGCGTGTTGCATGTTTGCTACGAGACAAGACGTCAGAGAGCGCAAGTATGACCCGGGAGGAGGCATAACGGGAGCGGCAGGACGCCTGATGCATCTTGGGCGGCAAGTCAGCTTCAACTTACATGGTTGTGTCTTGGATACTGCCAGCCCGTAGGTTGAAGGCCTGGGTACCACAGCAGTGACAGCATAGGCTGTCTTACGCAAGATATGTCCAACTCGGGTCTCCAAAAGAGGCTGTCCTAGGATCTGCAGGCCTCCGATGGAAACGGTAGATACAGTAGGTATTGTGGTTGAGTCCGACGTCAAACTATCGAGGCCATCCGGGACCGTTTGAGGGATCTGGCATTCTGTTGCTGCTGCTGCTGGTGATGAACCAAATTGACTTTGCCACAGTCTGGCTCTGATCTGCCTCTCAAGCTCCAGAGTTCAGCCGGCTAGCTCGAAGGGCGGTGAAGTTGGAGCATGACCAGAGTGGACCACAGGTAAGGGTGCATCAGCATGAGCCAGGCGGTAGTGAAGCACGAGGAGGCATGGGGCGAAGAGATACGGTTCAAAGTCTCGGTACTCCTAACCCCGTCGAGGTATGTCGGTGCCGAAAGGTACGGGTACCTGGTAAGAGCTTCAGAAGAGAGCTCCAAAGTCCAGACACCAGTGACCAAAGAGACAGCGGATATGGTGCCTGTCTCGCGTTGCAATGGAGCGGTCCATGTGTTGCCCTGCCAGGCATGAATTCGCCTCCCAATAGGGGTAGATTTGCTGCCGGGAGCTGGAACATGACCCAGATGCAAACAGTGGCAATGGCGGGGACGGCGAGAGGATCTAGACTGATGCAAATACCGTCGCGTGTCAATAGCGGCTCCAAGAGGAAGGGGAAGAGAAAGAGGGCGAAATTCAGCACGGTCAATGGAAGACTCAGAATGCCTTGCCTCGAGTCTGTGCGGTAAATGCAGCATTGCAGCGTGGGTGAGGAACGGTCAGTCAAAGGCACTTTTCCATTGCTTCAGGTCTCCAAGTACCTTACCGTACCTCACTGCTGCAAGCTGCGTCTGATGCAGGTGGACTGCATAGGTTGGGTTAGAAGGTAGCGGCTACAATGTGTCTAGGCAAAGGAAAGTCAGAATCTGGGCGGGAAGAATCTTGGTGGATGTAGATGTACATCAAAGCACGACTGATGCATTCCCAACTCCCATTCCTTCCTTCCTTTTCGCCTTGTACTAGAGTCGGGTACGTACCGAACCAAGACCCTTCAGACCGCCGACTTCGTCCCAAAAATTCTTTTTCAGCCGATCTTTTGCCTTCCCCTCTGGCGCGGAAAGAAAAAAAAAAAAGGTGTGCCTTCTCCAAAAAGGTTTGGGAAAGCTGCAAGAATTTTGTTCATATTCGGCATCGCCAAGCTATTCATCCACCAAAAAAACGGTACGCCGGGTTTTGGCTTGTGAGTGTCGAGTTGTTGCTGCTGTGGGAAGGCGAGCAACTCCCGTTATCAAGAATAGCCGAGGAAGAGGAAGTATCTCACAAAGTATGCTGTGATCCATCGATATAATGAGTACTTGAATAAGGTAAGGTATTCAATGGCATTTGGCATAACCAAAGCCCGGTGTCTAAATGTCTGAACGCCGTCTAGATGCGCCCCTCCTGCCTTCCAGTGATATGAACTGCAATGCCTTCCTTACCTAATGATATTCCGTATGGGAAGGAATAGATCCAAATACCTGACCAGGCACAGCTTCCAGCTTCGGTATTTCCTTCCGTCCGGCCTCTCATGGGATTCGGAAAGGCTACCTGAGGTAAGGTAAGGTACTCGCATAGATGGAAGGTAGTGACGTTACGGAGTACCTTAGCCCATAGACGGAAGGAGGTGGAGAGGAAAGATACCTCCCAACACATGATAATTGATGCAACAATCTTGTATCTCGCCCAAATAGTGGATGTACGGGTTACCTGACTTAGGTTTCTTGCCTCCTCCTTCCTCCACATCGTCCTCCTTTGGTGGGTAACTCAATCAACATCAAGGCCCAGCAGAAAAATCCAACAGCAATTGGGATTGGAAAGGAAGGAAAGCAACCGATCACCACACGGCACGACTTGACACGAACACATTTCATTGCTTTCACACCCCCCGGTGCCTCGGTGGCCCCCCATCCCTCGTTCCCTGCCACGCATTTCGTCCCTCCCGTCCCTGGTCCTGCCCTTTCTCCCCTTGCACCGTGCCCTGCAAATCCCCGCAGGCCACAAGCAACGGAGCTTCCTCTCTTTCCCTCTCCAGTTCGTCCCCAACAAAAACGGAACCGAGGCCAGACAGACAGCACACAGCATACCTTACACGGTAAGGTAGAGCACAGAACACCACCACTACTCCGTACGGATACCAAGCAGACCTCACCTCAGTTTATTACAGATGGTCCAATTTACCTGCACACCACTCACTCCTACCGAAAAAAAAGTCACAGGGATCTCCTTTCGCTCCATCCGTTACGGTACCTGACCGGCCACTTGTCACTACTCGGTACTAGCGAGCCAAGGCCCTGGAGAGACACAGTTGACAACGGGCCCCGTCCCGACCCATCGTTTGTTAATTATTTTGTCTTTTCGCCTCCGCCACGACCCGATACCGACCTGAGGTTTTTCCCAGAGTGCCTTCATTTATTACTCCCCTCCCTTCCTCCTTTTTCCCGCTTGTGCTTCTTGATTCCTGTTCCCTCCCCGCGACCCAATTGGTATCCCTCTCTCTTCTCCCAAGGGCCATTGGAACTTGTCAACCGTTCCTCTGTGTGTATTCATCCAATACCGAGGCAACATCACCCAAGCTGCTCTCATAGTCCCTCTTCTCTTCCCTAGCAGCAGCAGCACAATAATACCAGCCGCTATGGCTTCTACCACTTCGTCTGCGCCGGCCGGCCAGAACCCCGTTCTCCGCCGCACCGTCACCAGCAACACCGCCGAGACCGACGCTTCGGTTCCTTCTACTGCCATGGCTTCGCCCGTGGATTCGCCCCGTCCTTCTGCTTCGTCGACGTCCTTGTCGTCTATGGCTTCTGACGATGCCGTCCTCGAAAAGAAGGCCAACTACACCAAGCTGTACGACACCTACGGCAACGAGTTCACCCCTCCCGATTTCACCATCAAGGACATCCACAACGCTATCCCCAAGCACTGCTTCGAGCGTTCTGCTCTCAAGGGATACGCCTACATCGCCCGCGATATCCTCTGCCTCACCACCACCTTCTTGATCTTCCACAACTTCGCTACCCCCGAGTACGTGCCTTCCAAGGCTGCTCGTGTCGTTCTCTGGGCCGTCTACACCATTCTCCAGGGTCTCTTCGGAACCGGTCTTTGGGTCATTGCCCACGAGTGCGGTCACCAAGCCTTCTCTCCCTCCAAGACCATCAACCACGCCACCGGCTGGGTTCTTCACTCGGCTCTGCTCGTTCCCTACTTCAGCTGGCAGATCTCTCATAGCAAGCACCACAAGGCCACCGGCCATATGGAGCGTGACATGGTTTTCGTGCCCCGCACTCGCGAGCAGCAGGCCACCCGTGCTGGCCGCTTGGCCCACGAAGTCGGCGAGCTGGCTGAGGAGACCCCCATCTACACCCTTCTGATGCTTATCGCCCAGCAGCTCGTTGGCTGGCCCAACTACCTTATGACCAACGTCACCGGCCACAACTTCCACGAGCGCCAGCGTGAGGGCCGCGGCAAGGGCAAGCACAACGGTGCCGGCGGTGGTGTCAACCACTTCGACCCCAGCAGTCCCATCTTCGAGGCCAAGGACGCCAAGCTCATCATCGCTTCTGACATTGGTGTCGGCATCACCATGACCGTTCTCGCTCTCCTCGGCAACAAGTTCGGCTGGTCCAACATTCTGGTCTGGTACTTCATTCCCTACCTCTGGGTTAACCACTGGCTCGGTAAGTGTCAAAAGGCTCGTTTCGATTCTGTGACTGTCAGCTAATTTTTCTTCTCAGTCGCCATCACCTTCCTCCAGCATACCGACCCTACTCTTCCTCACTACACCGCTGGTGAGTGGAACTTCGTCCGTGGCGCCGCTGCCACCATCGACCGCGAGATGGGCTTCATCGGACGCCACCTCCTCCACGGCATTATCGAGACCCACGTCCTTCATCACTACATCAGCACCATTCCCTTCTACAACGCCGACGAGGCCTCTGACGCCATCAAGCCCGTTATGGGCAAGCACTACCGTGCTGACGTCAAGGATGGCCCGGTTGGCTTCATCAAGGCCTTGTACAAGTCTGCGCGTATGTGCCAGTGGGTTGAGCCCAGTGCTGATGCCCAGGGCGAGGGCAAGGGTGTCTTGTTCTTCCGCAACCACAACGGTCTCGGTACCGCGCCTATCAAGGGTGCGGTGAACTAAGTTACGGAGTTGAGCGACTGGTGAAAAAAAGAAAGAAAGGTCATGTCTTCTCATGAGCTGGTCCATGATGGCCCTCTCTACATATGCTAGTGTAGGATTTTGGCGATTCGTATCGCTGAGTGCTTCTGGCTCTGGGCCAGGCCGTCGAGTCTCCGTTTAATGTGCGATCCGAGGACGCCGTGGTAATGTCGAATCGAGCACGGGAGCTCAGGGTGGCCTGGAGACGGTACAGAAGATATAGTGCAAATAACTGGCAAGGCGTTAGCATTTTTATACCTGCACCCAATGGATAGATCCATAGACACAGAAGTCAAAGAGAGAGAACAAGCAATAGAATGATAGCTTCCGAGCATTCCGATCACACCGCCACCTCTTGACAAGCGTGTCCAACGTGATGAGCATGGCAGCCGCATTCCGCGCCATCAACCGGGAGAAGGTCTAATCCGCGATCACTTCGTCTGTCACGAATCCTTGTGCCGGTGTTCTGCTGCTTTGGGGTTGCTTCTTCGAGGTGATGTGAATCTGGGAAATAGCCCAGGAGCCAAGAGAACACGCAAGGTTCGGTTCAATTCATCCTGATCGTGGAGAGAATGCGGGGTGCACACGCGACCTTGCGGACGCCGGGACGCCGGACGCCCTCGAACCCGGACGGACCAATGAGTGACCACCCGATGGTAACAAAAGGCAGGCAGGCAAGACCTGGGGTCCCAGGCGGGAGGCTTGGGGGGAGGGGAATAGGGACCGTGAGCGCGCGTCTGCGCGGTACTCGGCGTTAGTGCGCATGCGTGTATCTCGTGGGTATTTGCTAACCGAGATGACATTGTACCTCTGCCGTACTGCCGTTCCGACCGCTCCGGGTCGCGCGGATCCGAAGGTGGAGAGAAAAGAGGGGGGCCGGAGTGCCGTTTAAGGATCCGAGGCCGGTGGTATGGGGGTGTTGTTATCTTGACGTCTTGCTTGACTTTTTGGCGTGCGCCGTATGTTTGCCGTTGTATTGGTACCGGCTTTGGGTAAAATCTGTTTCACGTATCGAATATGATGTATTGGTGTGATCAGTTTAGTTGTCGAGGCTCTTTGGGTGAATGGATGCACTATGCGTCACCTTGATGCTTGTATCTGCCTACCTTATTAGCCTAAAGGTCCTCCTTGAGATTTAGACACCCTGATTGTATGAAACGCTGCAGCAAAACTTAGAAACGCAGTCTATGTTGATCCACCTGAAGGAATGACATAAACTCGTTCTCAGAGTGGGAAGGTTTCCTTCTCGACATTCTATTCTAGAAGAGGGTGCTTGGCCCGTGAGGGCCGGCATGGAACACTTCGAAATCAATTTTCTCTCGCAACTTCAGATATCGGTCAATGTCAAATCAAGATATGAGCCATCTTGGGCTTCAGTCGACTTTGCCGTGTCACGCGGTTTCAAGGTACAGGAGAACTTCCCCAATCCCGACTACATTTTCCACGTAGGGAGCACACGACGCATATAATTACGGAGTGTGGCTTCTCTCTCTGCCTTAGTAATCTTCCTACCACTCATTCCCCCCCCGAGGCCTTTGAGCTCTGGTCTTACCACGCCGACCTCTGATACCACTCTGAATACCTAATAACCTATTCCAAGGGCGATGTTTGCAAATTTCAACGCCGGTCTATTGATTATATCACTGGAGTCAATGTGGATATGCGTCAGTAGTTCTCCAGTTGTCTTGCCTCACGCAGTGCATTCGTGACGGTACTGAACTGCCACAATGCGAGACAACTTCAGCTACCTTGATGAACAAGTCCTCCGCTGTGATAATGGTCTCAAGACTAAATAAAGAACACTAATATATGGAAGAATGTTCTTGGATATCGGAAGAGTACTGAAATCCTACTTTACGTATAATACTGAGAAACAGGTCAGCCTTGAAGTCTGGATACGATATCTGAGTTGATCCCCTCGGTGGTACTTGTCGTGGTTTCAAGATAGTATTTCGCAGCTGAGACTGAGATTGACTTATTTCTGATAGCTGAGGATACTTTTAGGCTTGTAAGGCTGTTGCGACTCTTCGCTTTGACAACATCAAGCAAGATTGGGAAGTTAAGAGAGGGGGTACAATCATTGTAGGTGGAGATATTGCTTCAGCAGAAAAGCTTTACGTGTACGAGCATTCGGCGCGAATATTTAACAGATAATTCGAAGATTGAGAGGCTTGAAGACCGCTGGTCTGGTCTGGTCGTGATGGTGTGTGATCTGAACCTGGGTCTTGCAGGGCATTGATACTGATGGGTCCCGCGCTATCGTAACAGGTTCTACTAGATACGACCGTAATAGTAATTGAGTGCTCGACTAGAAAAGGATACTGCAAAGAGACAAGTTCGAAAGAGACTAGGGGCTAATTGGACGTACACCTGATAAATTTGAAATATACTGTAGTGCCAGTTACATTGAGTTGCTAACCGTCACACTTGACGAAAACAACCTGCAGCAAGACCTTGGACTCTCTGTCTAAACCCGCTACTCCATAAACTAGTGAACCCCGAGTTCAAGCACGTACCAAATGTAAGCAAGAGACTTCGTCATGAGTGTTCTCGACTCTGGTCTGCGTGGTGTCTCAGTCACGGCAGTTGAAGCTGTGGACCGCGTGGACTTGTGCTGGAAGAAATTCTCCGTCTTCAACGATGCTCGTGGTCCTTTTGCGTGGGTCTAGCCTCGGAGCGCCGTGAACGTGGAAAACGCGTGAACGTGTTTGATGGATGCGGAAAGAGAGTACGTCTTGGGACAACAGATCGTTTTTTCTAAAGTAACGGCCCTACTCTAGGGAGGGGGCCAACGCCCGTCAAATCCACGGCACGTCGGAGTGGGTTCCGAATTCTCCAGGGTCCGGACCTACGTTCGACCTCTCTAGTCTGTGGAACCGTGATGGTCTTTTGATCAGTATCGGAGGGGGACGAAGGACACATTCGAACTGCATGCGGAAGTTGGAAAAGCCATGCTTACGACCCTCATGGCAGCAGAGAAAGAGGATGCCATGCGGAGAAAGCGTTTTCTCACGAGGGACTAACGTGGTCCACACGAGGCGGGACCGAGTCTCGACCGTCCCATTGCTGACAGCGATGTGGCGAGAAGAGCCAGGGCTCTTTGGTATTAGCAGTCTACCAACAGAAGAGAACGGCGGACGGGCAGTGTGGGCGGGGGCATGAACGACAGCACCGAGACATTGGGCCGGCGGGCTTCCAGTCTCGAGGCCGCCGATTTGTTAGATTGGCCGCTTTGTCCGAAGAGGCAACGTCTCTCCGGGCTCTAAATGTTCGGTAGTTGTTTGGCGCCTTGTTGATATTGCCTCTACAGGTGCTAAAGTCGACTACTGGAGTGTTGTCGTCCACGATCCACGGGAATCGGAGCGGGATACCTAGTTGTTGGCGGTGATCTGAGACTATCTTCCCGTCCACCTCGGGCATCGGCTGATGTGACTTAGATTGAAGCCGAAATCCTGCTCCCGAGAGTCGGCAAGGAGAGGAAGAACAAGATGAAGGGCACACGGGCGCGAGGACTTTAGCCCAGCCTCAAAGAAGAGAAATGGGGTTAGGTACCTCCCGATCCTAGAAGAGTTAGAGCTAGCTAGTCCGAACACGGCATATTCCTCTGAGACATCCTGACTTGGACGTTTCCTATGCTTACTTACACAGGCCCTTCCGGAACAATGTGATTTGCCTCGTCGTCACATTCAGCTGGTCGGCCAGGTTCCCCCGTAGACCATGCCCAGGCCACGTTTTCGAGACACGTTATTTTTGACGTTTGCAAAGAAGCTCTCGCGTGACAGGGTGCCTGGATTTGACAAACGGACGTATGATTAGGACCAGGTCACGATAGGAATGTCATACTGAATCAGATAGGGAGGAAGGAGGAAGTGAATCGACAGTTTGCAATAGTTTGACAGGTGGTGTAACGAGGAAACGAGAAAATATCGATTTCGTGTGACTTGACTAACTTGCCGAGACGTCCTAACCAATCGTGACATCGATCGTCTCACTTTCAAATTCACCCGTCAAGACCCCTTCGCCAAACTGCAACTTCTCGAGCGTTGCCTGGCTAAGCTTGTCCGCCGTCGTGGGCCAAACAACCTGCCACTTGCCCTTGACAGCCACCCGTGCCGTCTTGCCGAGCGAATCGAGCGCCACGATGGGCTCCTTGAGGACAATCTCCTGCTCCTGGCTCTCACCGGGCTGGAGGGTGACGAGGTCCTCTGGGCGCGGCGGCATGATCCGGCGGAGCTGAACAGTGTGGACCTCGATCGGCTCGCTCTTACCCTCGGGCGTGATGGAGACGAGGCCTACCTGGATGGCGAGGGGGTCGAGGGGCGTATTCCAACGGAGGATGGTCAGCGGGGCGTCGTGCTTGTTTTCCACGGAGAAGGATAGGGTGGGAGGTTTTTCCGACGTCTGACGGATGCGGAGGGCGAGCTTGGATAGCGCGCCGGCGTGCTGGCTCTCTTCCGCCATGGTGTCTCGGGAGGAACCGCTGCGATTCCAGGTTGAGAGGACGAAGATGAGAGCTACGATGAGGACGATGGGCCGAAACAGCGAGCGGGCTTGGAGGTTACTCATCGATCTTGGCGGCTGGCTGGTGAGATGGTGTAGAAGATGGCGGTAAGATGGCGGTAGGTAAAGGCGTGAGCGAGTATCGGGGGTTTGTTGCAAGGGCTTCTTCTTCTCTCTCAAAAGGTATGTTATGTGGGATTGAGAGAAATAAGGCTACTCTTCCCAAGGCAGGCGAAGTGGACGTGGTCAGCAGGATGCGCCTGAAGCGGAACAGCTTCCTAAGGCGGGCAAGTGGCATGGAAGATTCCGGCTGACGTCAATTGATCAAATGCGGCCGCCTACCGGTGCCGCTGGGAGGATGGCTTTTGTTGTTTGAATGTCTGGTAAAACAAAGAGGCAACGTGGGTGAATTGGAATGACTTTTGTCGCGAGAACGCGCGCACTAAGCTTGAAATAGGAGAAGAAGCCGTCTGCCGAGAAATGCCCAGCGGCTTCAGCCACGCAAGTTTGGTTCCGTTCCTTTGGGACGGACGAAATGCCATGCTTGCCACGATCCATGGCTTGAAGCTACGAATGCCATAGCCTTCATGCGATGGTGTCAGCGGCGTAGTTGAAGTGTTCTACGGGAGAGTTCCGATGTATACGGCGATGCGATTCATGGTGGACCAAGCTTCCATCTAGAGAACCCGGCAGATCGGGTTTGCGCTTCTATCCGCGACGGGGGCTACCCTATCGCCAGCTAAACTTGCCTACTTGCGATGAACTACCTTAAGTAGATGACAGATTCGGCCGGACGGCGGGAGACCCCGCACTCTGCAGGGTATCGAAGGAAGAGATGCGCCTTACTATCCCCTGCTCTTACACCCCTCTTAGAGACCACCTACCTAGACTCTAAATCGGTCAAGCTGGCGGCACAACTTCAGACGACGCTACATTGGCATGATGGAGACGCAATCCTTCGACTCCAAGCTTGGTGCAGGAAAAACTTCGCGCTGGTCTACGGACGAAAGAGGAAGGTCGCCAAAATGCTGCAGGTAAGCAGTGATACGGGGACACGGCGCCGGTGACCCATAATTTCGGCAGACCCACTCCGAATGGCAGTTGCTTGCGCGACCACCGGTCTCAGGGTCGAGGCCCTTCGGTGATGTTTCCGTTCTGCTGCCGACGTCATCTCGAACGAGGAAAACGTGAAGACCGTTTCTAGACTCCAACCCATCACAGCTTGTCTCAGTTGATTTGCCGGCATTTCGGGACACACTTCAATCGATAAGAGTACTTTACTTGCTGCTAGATTGGTCCCCCCCCCCCCCCCCCCCACCCGCGCGAACTTGCACGTGATTTGCTCCCCCGCCCTCCCTCGTCGCGGGCGGGGGGGACATGACTCCGCAGACGTAGTCCTCAACATTCCCACCTTCTTGTGGTCAGCCGGCAGAACCCATGGGGCGGGGTGGGCCATGGGATAGGGCTAGCACACCCCCGGGCGCCCCTAGCTATCCCTGTCTTACTCGTCAGCCAGCCCGTGTCTCGCAGCGGCCTAGGGCAAACCTTTGGTGCCAGCCATGTCTCACTTTCGCTCCTTGTCTCTAGGAGACATACAGCAAGGTGCGGTGCGGTTAGCATCTACAGAAGAGGCTACGGCTCCCCGGGCTCCTTGCACGAGTCTTTATCCCCACGATCCCGGAGGCCGTTTGCGGATAGTGGACCTGCTGGCCTGAACAGAGACCCATGGAGCCCGCTCCGACCGTAGGATTGGGTCTGTTGGAGAATCTTTCACCCAAGGGGCACGGCAGTTGAAGACTCGTGGTCCTCGTGGCGACTTGCTGATCACTTGCTGATCGGCAAGAGCGTGTCTTTGCTCGGTCGTTATGTCTCCTCCCCTCCTGGTCTCCTAGCACAATCACACGCATGGTGCTTTCACCAACTTCCAAAGAAATTGGAAGACAACATGGGACACATGTCTAGTGGCGCCAGATGTCTCGTCCATCACCTCAATGAAGTTTCCGCATCTGCTCTTCGTGGCTTACACCAGCCAGGCTTACCCATCGAGTTGGAACCCATAGGTTTCCTCTGCTAGACCGCTTGAGTCCGACGCCTTTGCCGATTCTAGGCACTGCCTAACTTGTCGTGGAGGATGTAGGTCCCCACCCGCGCTCCAGCCTGCTATGCTTTGGGATCATGATACACTCACCCTCCTTCTTGGGGTTCTCCTGTTAATCACAACTCAGGTGTGTCTGTCAATTCTTTAGCTCCGACAATGGGCAGAAGCACCTCCCGCCCCATGGACTCTTCTTAGCCATCGGACCATCCTCTGGAGCCTCCAATTCCTTCCAGACAGCGATTCTCCGTGGCTTGAACCACGGCCGCTCTGCTCCCTAGGCCGGATCGGGAAGAGAAGCCCAGGTTTCATGTCACCTCGGAGTGGCATCGTGGGCTGAACGGTGAGATCCGTTGAAGCCTTGATTTCCTGTATAAAGACGATGAGAATTCCATCGACTGAATGGCTTTCTGTTTTGGATCATCACTCTCAACTCCAAACGGCCCTCTCTCATCTTCTCAGCTCCTCAGCTTCAACAACCGAGACACTCTCCACTTTGCAAAAGTCAAGATGAAGTTCTTCACTGGTCTCACTCTCCTGGCCTCCCTCGTGAGCGCCTCTCCCATCGAGCTCGCCCAGAGGGACACTGCGACTCCGCTCCAAGCCAACATCACCAAGAACGGCAACACAGCAGTCAAGATCGCCTTGAAGAACATTGGCAAGACCGATCTCAAGCTCTTCACTCCGGGTACCGTTTTGGACACGGCCGCCGTTGAGAAAGTCGCCGTCTTCAATGGAGGTAAGTAGTAGTACTCTCCCACATTTCAATATCAAAATGCTGACTCAACCTACAAGACGACCGCCTCCCCTTCGACGGCGTCCGCCTGCGCATGGCACCTCAAAACCTCCTCACCGACGCCTCCTTCCGAACAATCAAGGCCGGCGAGACAATCGAATCCGCAGTCGACTTTGCCGAGCTGCACGACCTGGGCGCGGCCGACGCCTTCAAAGTGAGAGTCAACGGCGGCATCCCCTACGCCGAGGCCGGCTCAACCACCATTGCCGGCGTCTTCAGCATCGACAGCAACACGCTCAACATCAACAACGTCAACGTCACAAAGGCCGCCCTCGTCCGCACCTCGTACAAGCAGATGATCAAGCGCACCATTGTCCAGTCCGACTGCAAGGGCACCCAGAACACCACCGTCACCAACGCCCTCTCCAACTGCTCCAGGCTCGCCCGCGCCGCCGCCGACTACGTGTCCAAGGACGACAAGCGCTTGAACGAGTACTTCAAGTCGACGACCGCCGCCAGCAAGAAGATTGTCGTCGACACCTTCAACAAGGTCGCTTCCGAATGCGGTAGCCGCAACAAGGGCGTCTCCAAGCAGTACTGCAGCGACGTCTACAAGTCTTGCTCGCCTGGTGTCTTGGCTTACACCGTCCCGGCTTACAAGTACATGGTTAACTGCCCCTTGTACTTCACCGCGCTTCCTCTGCTCACCACTGGTTGCCACAACCAGGACCAGTCGACCACCACTGTTGTAAGTACAGCACTTTACTGAAGATCATCGAGCTTGAGCTAACCAGTTTGACTTTTTCAGCACGAGATGACCCACTTGCTCGAGGTCAAGGGAACACTGGATTATGGCATCTACGGCTACACTGCCTTGAAGACTCTCACGAGCGCTCAGAACCTCAACCACGCTGACACCTATGCGGTCTATGCCAATGGTAAGTCGATTCAACTCTCAAGACACAATAAGGAAAGCCATGGCTAACAATGAGATTTCCAGCTGTCAACCAGGGCAAGACTTGCTAGTCGCAACAAGGAGTTGAGAGTTTTCGTACATATCCACCACAAAGACTATCCAGTTCTTCTGTGCATATTCAACGGGACCGACTACGCTAGGAGTTTACACTGCTCCATGTATGGGCGCCGGTTCCTCTTAATGGTTAATTACTAGTATCAGGGTTTGGGATCGCGAATTAGAGGGCATTTAGATCTGCCATTTTCAATCTTTTCCATAGAAACGAAATCACGATTCATTCAGCTTTAACAAGTGCCCGATTATATGATTAATGACTCAAATATGATAGGGATTATTGAAAGACTCTGCAATTACCCGCAGATGGCCTGAAATGGAAGCAGAAGAGCTAGGCAGGGCGCTTGTTTGCTCCAAAGCCTCCCGAGGCGACACAAGATAGTTTAGTTTTGCGAAGCAACGCTGACCGAAAGGCCGATGGCTCATTCTTTGTGGTACACAAATAATAGACATTAGCTTATCAGGGATTCTAGACTAAATATGAACGAGGTTGATGAATCGTTTAAACAAGGTCTTTGGAGAAGAGTAGTAGGAATAGAGCTACACACAACAAGACCACCGATTAGTGCCTGTCTGAATTTCTCCGTCAGTTACGTTCCATGTAAACCGTTCCGTTGGGGAAGGAAACGAGCAGAGACAAGTCTTTGCCAGAGACATGTAAGCCGGTATATACTTAGGTGTTGCACCAAACATGACTGACCATGGTCTCACTTGGTAACTCGCTGTGTTGCATTCCAAAGTCCCAACGTTCAACCAACGACAAGTCTGACACACAGCCCTGGGCCCTCGTACCCGTTGGAACCGAGACCTTCAGCGACCCAGGGGGTGCCCATCCGATTTTGGGGGTTAGGGGCGGCACTTGGACACAGATAACACGTCCGACAGGGCAGAGACAGTGACGTGCAGAACGACCCGATCCTCGCCTGTTGGGAATGGAAGCTTTGGAAGCTCGTCCCTGTTTGTGAGCCGCAGTTTTTGCAAATTCCGACTGGGGGGCCGGCTCTACAGGATGCTCCGGGCGGCGGTCGGGTTGGGCATACGTGTAGTCCCCGGGCGCTAACGGCAAGGCGCAGTAGCACAGTATATGCAAGCTTGACATTTGTTGTAAGATGTCTTCTTCTACGGAAGTACGGATACCTTAGGATGAGATGAAGTCCCGTTCTTAGTTCCTCAATTTTGAATATCAAAGGCGGGCCCGGCCTTGGGGGCCGAGAGGGGCGAAGCTCAATAATTCACTCGACAATTTCACATGGAATTGAATAGTTGGAAACAAGTTCGGAGTCCGGGCTGGAAACTCGCAAAGACTCGAAATAACATCCTATCAATCCCGACCCGCTGGGACATTGGACCGGGGGTCGCCGGAGCCAGCCGTTGGCCTGAACCTGAGATCCAAATCACACAATATTGAGCCCCGCTGAGTGGGATCGTCGACCGTTTGTTCGCACTCGGGCCCATCAGCGGGTGCCGGCAATCGAACCTTCGAATGACTCCTCAATGCTCACAGTGTCGCACTTTGTACTCAGGAATCCGTAAGTGGATATTGCGAGATGCGTACGGAGTACGCATCGATCTATGGGCATTCGGGTGCCACTACTGTTTGCTCTGCTCGCCTTGGATGCGCAAAAGCCACAGACGCAAGATAGGTACGAGGTCTGCAGACTTAAGGCTGTCGTCGTGGGGGTCTTTTGATACGTGCTAGTCCTGCAGGACGAAAAGTATGCCGAGTCGTGGGCTGCATCTTGTCCGTGCATTATTACACGCGCGGGCGTCAGAGCCTCGAAAGGTGAAGGAGCAGAGGCAAGGTTTGCTGGAATGTTCCGTGAGCCTGTTTGGTCTTTTTGGTGCGTTTGGTACAATCCCTTTTATTAGGTATCATTGCGGCGGACCGAGGAACGGCGCAGGGCACCCGCGTAGAGTTTTGGGCCGTTCGGACTGGGAAAAGTGTAAAGCTTGCGAAGAAAGCACCGAAGCAAGGGATATGGGATGAGCTTGCGTTGCAGGTCGGCACGTTGCGAAGGGAGACGGTCGCAGTGGGAGGAAGGGCCAAGACGAAAGGGATGGCGGGATGTCTGGGATGTCGCGTCTTGTCACTTGTCAAGTTCCAGATGGAGGAAAGATTCCGTACGAAGGCGAAGGCTGAGGGGTTGATCAAATTTGGGAAGATTTCGTCGGCTGAAAGTGAGAGAGCATGACGGTTCTTGTCGCGATTTGAGCCCAAATACCAGCAGAAAATATGGTTACAGATGTTCAAGCCATCAAGACTCGACAATCCATCCAGTCAGTCTCTGTATCCATACTGTATGCCGTGCAAAACACCTTGGGGGATAGCAACATGTTTGTTTGCGTGCGTTCTTGTCGTGATTTGGGAGGTGGGCTGTGGACAAGTATCAGGGGGTGGCGAGTTACGTAGTGGGGTGGTCTTCCATGTGCCGACAGGATATATCTTCTTGTGTGTCTTGCGAAAAAGGTACGAACGAATGCTGGGGCTCTGGGGCGATGCCGACACAGTGTGATAGGGCCGGTTCGGCTATTCTCCCGTGGCATGCCGCACCGAATTCTGGGTGTCCGTCGTCGTCGCTTGCTTCCCGCACCTCCATCCGCTCCTATTTTGCCAACCAGTGACGACAAAGCTGCAGGAACAGCCGGCGTCGAATGACGACGATCAGATAGCGGCGGTGCTAAAGAGAAGCATCCCTTGAGGACACTGTGTCTGACACACCTGATCTGCTGGATCAGCGATTCCGTCAATCAAGAATTCAAGATGGTCCTCCGCATCGACAGACTCGGTGAGTGATCCGTTGCTCGACGGGCTCGACGGGCTTGAGGGCGGCGTTGGATAGGTTCCGATTCGGCAGCCAACCATGGAAACGAATGGGGCAAACCCACCACTGACCTCAGACAGCCACGATCTCTCCAAGACACTGAAGACAGTGACGGGACCGCCTGGCGCCGTGTACACTGTAGACCGAGCCTTTGAGTGTCTGTGCTGCGTGGTGCGTGTGTACTATGTATTCGTATGCAGCACAGTGGACAGCAGCAGGCCGGCCAGCAGCTAGCTCCCGGGAGCGGTGGAGAGTCGAGGTCGCAGTCCAGTCGGGTCTGGTGGATCGTCGTCTTCAAGAACGCAGGTCCAGCCACATTCGCAGGCTCGCAACCCGTCACAGAAGTTCCCCGGTGGTAAGGTACGGCGTAATGGTGGAGGACTCGATGGCGACGGGCATTTTTGCTTGGTGAGGAAGTGTGGAATGCCGGTACTGAGTATCCGTACGGAGTCCAGCAGTGCACTGTGCTGAGCTGACCTCATCCCTTTGCAGCGAGCGGGCGAAACCTTGCAACAGAAAGCCTGGCGACTGCAGGATTGCGACACCGGCCACTAGGCAACTCGGGTCAAGACCGGAAAGCCATGTCGATTCGGACTGGGCGAGCGGCTAGGGGGGCTGGCACAAGGGTTCGGGACGCGGAGCCCTAACAAGGACCCTGAATTCTCTGTGTTGAATATCGGGAGGTTATGGTAGCATTGGTGGTATTGGTGATGGCTGAATCTAGGTAGGTGGTCGAAGGCTCGAAGCTACGCTGCGTGTCTGGTTAGTAGATGGGGCGGTAGCACAGAGACTAAGGTAAGGTATGGAGGTTTGTTGGACGAACCTGATCACCAAGCTGGTGTTCCGCTTTTCCACCGGTTGTTATGGAGTTTGGCAGATCATGCTGTTTGGGTTAGAAAACTTGGGAAATCCCCGCGATTTCAGTTTGCCACGGTTTGAGGCTTCCAAGGGGTGGTTCTGGTGTCGCGAGAGTCTACCACGAAGTATTCGTAGCGTGAGGAGGAGAAGTTAGGTGGATGTACGTACTCCGTACCGCGTCGAGGAATAGAAGTCGTGGTGGTGGTGGTGGTGGCAGGTGAAGGCGGTGGTGCAGTGGTGCGCTCTTTCCCCTCCCTTTTGAAACTGGGGGAGAAGTTGCGAGCTCTGAGTGGCCGAGGTGAGGCGGTGGGTGGGGCTCGCTTGACGGGAATGGCGGGGCTGGACAGTGCAAAAGCCCTTCATCGTTTCTAGCACAGTATACATGGCCTCTCCAGTGGTTTGTCTGCCCAGTGCTGTGCGCGTAGCCCGTGGTGTTTCCTCTCTCTCATCTCCTGGCCTTGCACAAGCCTGCAAAGGCCCCAAGGCCCCCCCCCCTTTCGGCCAAAGGTGATCCCAGTCAGCCGGGCGCTGCCCTGGTCGTACGACGGACGCCCACAAACTGTTTCTGTACTGCACTGTGTACTTGCAATACCCCCAAGAGCTTCCCTTGCCTTCCATCCAGAACCCGCCTGTCGCCAGTTCGACCGGGCCTTCCCATTCATTGGCATGGGGCAAGGTACGGATTGCGGGCACTGGGCTGGCTGACAGAGACCCCAACTTCCTCCCTCCTTCCTCGAGGAACCGACCTTCGAGACTCAAAGTGACTTCCATGCTTGACTTACCCCCGGTGCGTGTGCGTGTATCTTTGCTTCACCCCCCCAAAAAACCCAAAGCTGACAGGGTCAAAAAAAGAAGAGAAAGTGAGCAAGAGCATTCAAACCATCTGCTCCTGCTCCCTCTTCCCAAACGAACCACCACTTCTTCCCCCCATCTTCAACTCCATCTTCAACTTCAACTTCATCTTCACTTCCGTCCAACGAATTCTCCCATCCATCAACAAACCTTTGGTTGATACCCCAGACGCATCCACAGCTGCATCCATCCCACTTGTTGTGTGTGTACCTACTCTTCCTCGTTGTGGGCTCCGATTTACTTCGCTAGCCCAACCCACATTCACATGGTCCTCTGCCGCCGTCGGACCATCGACACCACCACCTCGAACACGACCTCGCCGACGCCCTCAGCTGCTCCTATGTCTCGCCTGCTCTGCAAACAACACTGGGAAGCGTTGATGTAAATCCCTTCCACATAAAACACACACAGATCATGCTGCGACGGCCTCCAGGCGACGGGAGGCGCGTTGCTCGTCAGCGAACCTACCTCCTTGCTCTCGCTGTACTCGCCATCTCATGCCTCCCACTCGCCGATGCTCAACAACAGCAAAAACCCATCGAGCCGGTAGCTCAGATACATAGAATCCATCAACACCAAACCCCTGCTGGAAGCAGTCAACACGAAGCTGTTCGTGATGCCCTCCCCGACGCTGCCGCCCGCAACTGGGCCGCTACCAACATCAAGGCCGACAATGCTGTCGAGTCTCCGAGGCGCCGAAACTCCGTAACCTCGAAGCAACCCCAACCTCAACCCAACAACAAACAACCACACGACCGTCGGTCCAACCCCGACAACATACTTATTCCTCACGATGCGAGCGCCATCGCAACTTTGGCTCCGGCTCAGTCCGTCCGAGCACCTCCTTCTGGACATCGACCCATTGCCTCCCGCGTTGGCGGTGGTGGGATCTCTACGCAGCACCATGCGCGGAGTCTGAAGGATTGGGAAGTAGAAGACTTCGTTCTTATGGCGACCGTCGATGGACACCTCTATGCCACTGATCGCAACCACGCCACCGAACGCTGGCATCTCGAGGTTGACCAGTCCATGGTTGAGACCAAACATTACCGTCTCAACGCCTCCGACCTGGACGACGACTACAACCACATCGATCACTACATCTGGGCCATCGAGCCCAATCGCGATGGAGACATTTACTACTGGTCTCCAGCTGGCTCCACCGAGCCCAGACTACTATCCACGGGCTTGACCATGAAACAGATGGTCGACGAGGGCGCCTCGGCCCTCGACAATCCGCCAATCGTCTATACTGGTACCAAGAAGACTACCATGATTACACTCGATGCCGCTACAGGTCGTGTGCTCAAGTGGTTTGGCTCTGGCGGCTCACACGTCAACGAAGCAGAGAGCTGCCTACGCCCGAATGCACTCTACGACCAGAATAACGAAGAGTGTAGCTCGACTGGTACGATCACGCTTGGTCGTACCGAGTACGAGGTTGGCATTGCCCGCAGAGACGGTCGCCCGATCGCTACACTCAAGTTCTTTGACTGGACTCCCAACACAAACGACTACGACCTGCTTAACCAACACCACCAGTCCATCGACCAGCGCTACCATACCACCACCCACGATGGCAAGATTTATGGTGTTGACTACGCCAATGCCCACAAGGACAAACTGCCCATTTTTTGCAACGCGCAGTTTGCTTCGCCTGTAGTCAAGGTTTTCGACGTCTGCAGGCCCGTGGGATTGGAACCGTTGAGCAACCCCGACCTCATCGTCCTTCCTCAGCCTGTCCCACCAGCCAAGGATGACAGCAACGCTCGTATCCGAAGTCAGCGTATATTCGTCAACCAGACAGACATGGGCAACTGGTACGCCTTGTCTGGGCGCTCCTATCCTCTCATCTTGGATGCTCCCGTAGCCAAGACCTCGTCGCCAGACTGGCTGCAGCTTGCTCAGCCATGGGGCAAGTTAAACGAGACGCAGCGGGTCGGCGCAATGGTTGGAACCCACTACATGGATGGTGTCATCAGGGGCAAGATCTATCAACCTCCCAGTCTACCCGGACGCGCAGAAGCGTCTGATGCAGTGGTGGACCCTGAAAGTCACCCAGTGCTGCCCACTACTGTGCCGCACGACGATCCTGTCGAGACGCCCACCATCGTCAACAAAGTCAAGTCGATTCCTCATCACGTTTCCAACAGTGTAATCGACTTTTTCTCCAACCCTGTCTTGATTGTGCTCATTGTTTCTGTTCTGTTTTACTATCAGAAGGATCTACGTCGGTGGTACAAAACTAAGACGACAAAATGGTATATGCGAGACGAGGCTGCTTCCGATACAGAGGATATGGGTGCCGATGCCACTCCTGAGCAAACGGTACAGGACGAGATCCCACCATCCGCTCCTCAGCGGGCGGCCGCACCTTTAGTACCAGAAGAGCCTGTTGCCGACAAGAAGCCAGTATCCGAGGATGGGGTTCCCTCTGTTGAGCCTGCCCCTGAGAAAGAGAAGGATGATGACAAGATGCCTATCGCGGATCCATCGGCTCCCGGTGCCGAGACCCAGACTTCTGCCACCCCCCCTGAACCTGGCACCCCTGAGGTCAAAAAGAAGAAGCCCGCTCACCGTGGCCGTCGCGGAGGCACGAAGCACCGCAAGGGGAAGAAGAGAGAAGAAATGTCTCAATCTCGCGATGACGAGCCACGTGCTTCCGTTGAGGAAGCTGTCAATAAGGCAAAGAAGTTGGGTGTACAGGCTACTGGTCTGGAGCCCGATGTCATGACTATGACAAACGACATGCAAACTGTGGGAGAATCGATCATCAAGATGGGCGGCATCGAAGTTGACACCGAGAACCAACTCGGCACAGGCAGCAATGGTACCCTGGTCTTTGCCGGTCGATTCGATGGCCGCGAAGTAGCTGTCAAGCGGATGCTTATCCAGTTCTACGACATTGCCTCCCAGGAGACAAAGTTGCTGCGAGAGAGCGACGACCATCCCAATGGTAAGACAGAAACATGGCTGCTTTCAAGGAAGTATCTAACAATTAAATCTAGTCATTCGATACTACGCTCAACAGCAACGCGACGGGTTCCTGTACATTGCTCTCGAGCGCTGTGCAGCCTCTCTGGCTGATGTCATTGAGAAGCCTCATCACTTCACCCGACTGGCTCAAGCAGGCAAGATGGATTTGCCAGGTGTCTTGTACCAAATCACTAACGGCATCCACCATCTACACAACCTTCGCATTGTCCACCGCGATCTCAAGCCTCAGAACATTTTGGTCAACATGGGCAAGGATGGACGACCGCGCCTTCTTGTATCCGATTTTGGTCTCTGCAAAAAGCTAGAGGGTGGTCAGTCCTCCTTCGGTGCCACTACTGGCCGCGCTGCGGGAACGTCTGGCTGGCGAGCCCCTGAACTGCTACTCGACGACGACGCCAGGGACACTGCCACTATGGAGTCCAGTATCCAGAGTGGATCGGGCTCTATCCTGGTTGGTTCCGACATGATGTCCAACCGTCGTGCTACTCGCTCCATTGACATATTCAGCTTGGGCTTGGTGTTTTTCTATGTCCTGACGAATGGTTCCCATCCTTTCGACTGTGGCGATCGCTACATGAGGGAGGTGAACATCCGCAAGGGCAACTACAACTTGGCGCCACTGGATGCTCTCGGCGACTTTGCCTATGAGGCAAAGCATCTCATCGGCTCGATGTTGGATGCGAATCCGAAGGAGCGCCCTTCAGCTCGCGATGTCATGGCTCATCCGTTCTTCTGGTCTGCCAAGAAGCGCCTTGCTTTCTTGTGCGACGTCTCGGATCACTTTGAGAAGGAACCCAGAGACCCCCCAAGTGATCATCTTGTTCATTTGGAGAAGCATGCTCCGGCGATCACCAAGGGAGATTTCCTTCGGCTTCTGCCACGAGACTTTGTGGACTCTTTGGGCAAGCAGCGCAAATACACTGGGTCCAAGCTGCTTGATCTGTTGAGAGCTCTGCGCAATAAGAAGAACCATTACGAGGATATGCCCGACGCGCTAAAGCGGGCAGTTGGTCCTTTGCCAGAAGGTTACTTGGCGTTCTGGACAGTCAAGTTTCCTAGACTTTTGCTGGATTGTTGGAACGTGGTGTGGACCGTGGAATGGGATAGTACTGATCGGTTCCGGGAGTACTATGAGCCAGCCGGTCTTTGAGTTGTCGATACATAGAAAAGTCAATGATTTTTGCCGTGCCTTCAAACTTGTTCCACTTTTTCGTGACCTGATAAGCTCCCCTAGTCAAGAGGTAAAAAAACGTTGGAGAGCCTCTTGATGCCTACTCAGAATCTTTTATTCCAATGCTGCAGTAAAAAATATACTGCAAAAAGTAGTCTACTTTTCGTAACCCGAAGTTATATGTATCAGATCCACTCCTTGCCCTTGCACAGACAGACGCGTAAGAAAATTACCTTGGGCAGGTCGCCAGGTCTATCAGGGTCCTCACTGCTCGAGACGATCTACAAGGTACATGTCATGACCCAGAGCGGTAGGTAGCCACACATTTGCTCTATTCATTGAAGACCTGTTACTTTTCTCTGGTCTATTGTGTCTGTTACTCCTTCTTTTCTTTATACCTCCTGAAAACTGCAGACCACCCACGTATGGCCAACTCCTTTAAGTGTTCAGCAATCTTTTACACGCTGCGAGGCTCGATGGACCGTCAAACAGTGTCGTTCATCACCCCCATCTCAGAACGCCTTGTGAGGCATCTCCCAGCTTCTCAACCCCACTGGACAAGCACCTTCTTGCCCTTCTTCTTCTTGCCACCTGTGCTCTGACCAGCTTCCTCGTCTTCCCTCTCCGATACATTCTCGCTCGCGGCTCCGCTTCCTGGGGCCGATCCCCAGCTGAAGTTACTGGCAGCGCCGCCCAGATCGCGTCGCACACCTCGTCCCGATCCATAGCCAAAGATTGTTGTGAGGGGCTTCTGTGCCGGAGGCAACGCGGGGAAAGCAGATGATGGTGGCGGTCGACCGGCTGGTGTCGAGCGCACGGGTCCTGCGGAGCCCGAGGATCTCGAAGCGGAGGGGTTGTTCGGCCCAATCCAGGATGGCTGTGGTGCCGACGACTTGGAGGACGAGGCCGCGGGGAGGGCAGGGAAGGCCGATGGTGCTGGAGGGCGAGAGGAGCCCGACGTGGAAACCCAGTTCGCCGAAGCGGCCGGGGCCACCGGTTTAGGCCCCGAGACGCCGGCTCGGGTGCTGTTCTTCAGCCTCAACACGCGGTTGGAGTGCTTCTGGTTCGAGCTCGGTGCGGCAGCTGGCGCAGTGGGGGACGGCGAGGCTGCACTAGCCCAGCCGCTTGAAGCCGTCGTCGCGCCGTGCATACCGCCCAAGCCAGGCAGAGACGGGTAGTCTTCGTTGATGGCTCTCCAGTCCTGCCACGCTTTGTGCAGAGCCGCGACCTTGCTCTTATCCTCGAATAGGTCAGCAACTTCACGGACCAATGTACCCAATGCGTTTGACGATGTATCAGCGAAGAGCGAGAAGAAGGCATCCACCAGTTGAGGGGCGGTCAAACTCCCTTTTCGGAAATTTGAAATGTAATCGCGGAACTCCTTCATCTTAGACTGGTCGTGGCCAAGCAGGTTTGAAGCGCGCTCAACGACGCCTTGGTGGCGCAGCATCACCGCTCTCTCCTGAGGAGGCAATGATGCAATGTCAGTCACATTGAGCTGCTCCATCTCGGCCGTAGGCAGCGCAGGCGCAGGTGCGGCTGCAGCTGCAGGGGCTTGACGTGATGAACCTCCAGGCGCCGGCGCACCATTACCTCGGCGGGACGAAGAAGCGGGTGTCGTACTCGCTGGCTGGGAGAGCGAACCGCCAAAGGTACGGTTAGAAACTGACTGTGCCGAGTGGATTGCCATTTGTCTTTGGAAGGCAAGCTCATCCCGGCGGAGCGGTTGCGCAGAGCTGTGAGGTATGGGTTCGGCATTGGGATCCCGGCCACGGCCACGGCCTTGGCGTCCGCTGGAGGGGCCATCACCACCACCGCCGCCGCTTCTACCGCCGCCACCTCCTCCACGTCTCTCGGTCTCGTATGTCGATCTGTAGTCAAAGCCTGACATGTTGACTACCCTCGCATCTCTCCGAACATCCTTGGACAGAGAGTTGGCATGCTCTTCCAGTTGATGCGCCTTCAAGTCCATTTCCGACTCAAAGACGACGAATTTCTTCTCTAGGCATTCCTTGTCCAGACAGGGGAAATGGTCTTTTTCAAAGTGCTTCTCCAAAGCATTGTAGTTGACAAAGTAGTGGGGGTGTCTCGAGTCTCTCCGGTCGCAGATGAAACATCTCTCGTGCTTTTCGCGGCAGTGATCAAAGAGCTTATCGTCGTCGTAAAAGCGCGATCCGCAGAACCCGCATAGGGGATGTCCCTTGAAGCCCGTCTGGTCAATGGCACCTGGCCTGTCGTCTCCGTGCCTCATATGCTTCTCGAGCTCCTTGTCCGCAAAGAGTTCATGCTCATGGGTAAAGACCTTCTTGTTTCTGGTACACAGGTCGCACATCTTCATGTGATGCGTTGACCGAACGTGTCTATGAAGATCTGGCCAGCCTAAACCGGCAAAGACACAGTCTTCCGCAGGGCAGTTGTATCGCAGAAGCACGACAGTGTCGCCGACAATTTCCTCATTGGTATATCGGATGCCAATGTTGCTGTCGAAGCTCGTGATGTCGGCGTCGGTATAGTCCTCGTATCGCTTGTTCGCATCGTCCGTGAAAACGACAAAGGGAGAAGCAGTCTTGCTTGAAGTTAGTCTCGGCGTATCGATGGCGCGTCAGTGGAAGTAAGACTTACTCGACAATGAGGACAGTCCTTAGTCTTGTACAGGGCTCTCATGCGTAGACCACAGATGTGGCAGGTCTTATGGTTGCATGGTGCAATCGAGTGGAACTTGATGGGCTCTGCGCAAATGAAGCACACCTCTCCGTCGCTGCTCGCGGTATCATCGTCCGCTGCAGCCGTACGTGTGAGCACCTTGTTATCGGCTTTGGTGACGGGAGCTTGTGATGCGCTCGAGGTTTCTGGCTGGGTTGATGCAGCAGCGTTATTACCGCCTCTGCCACGTCCTCCTCTTCCTCTTCCACGGGTTCCAGCGTTGGCTCCTCCTCCACCTCCACCACCGCCGCCGCGACCTCTTCCACGGTTGCGATTACCCCTCGAGGGGTTCGAGTCGCCGCCGGCAGCGTGAGTATCGGCCATCGGGACAGTCGTCTTTCTCGTAAATAATGAGACTGTCGAGTCGGCTGGACAATCCTGTCGAGACCAACGGTCTTACACTGGCAGTGCCTTTCTCGGATGCGCGAAATTGGTCCTCCACTTGAGCTTGCTTGTGGGCCGGTGTAGCTGCAACTGAATAGCTCGTTCCAGATTGCGTGCAGTGACTTGAAGAGGTAGCGTGAATTGGTAAGAGAGTAGGAAAAGGCCGGGATACAGACGGGCAACCCGGTACTTTTAATCGGGCGCTGCGAGACGATGTACGTCGAAATTAATGATTATGTGTGGCTCCCAAGGGAACCGCGAGTGGGTTGGATTGGCTCTGGCATTGGTGGGTGGAGGGAACTCATGGCGGGGTCCAGCAAAAAAAGTCCCCTTCCATTGCTCGTTGAGGTGGCAGCTGCTGCCACTGAGGGTGCTAACTTCCATTCTGGTAAGCGACCGCCGACCGGGGTTTCTCCGTGCTCTCGGTGTGCGTCATTCACCCCTGCAACCGCCATACCGCCATGCCGCCATCTGAAGAAGCTTCGAGGCTTACATAACACAGCAACAACCACGAGCTGACAGCTGAGCTTCGCGGAGTCACCAGCCGGTTCCAGGCCACATTTGTGGCTTTGCACTCGACTCATCGAGGCGGTGCAAGAGGCATTCGAAGTCTTTCTCAATGGATGTCAGATATCTCGATTTAGAATCGCCTCTGCCTTACCTCAGGTAGCCCAATATGAGTTGCATACAAAATGACTCATCTGTAATCATCGTTTCTCTGCTGTAGCTGAAGCATTGTTGTGCGGTGCCAGTTTCTCTCTCATTCGATGCCTATGGTCTTGCATCATTGACTTCCCAAAATATGTTGCGTCATTGGACAGGCAGAGGACTAAACCAGTATCTTAATAGAGTGTATTTCAAGGGAGACTAGTCTCGACCGATTCCAAAGGCCGAGCTAGCCTAGATTCTCTACCTCAGGTAGCGTAGAGCCTGCAGTTGCAGCCACAGCTGCAACATCCAGCATGGCCAAATACTAAGTATGTAAAGATGCCATGTCGACAACGAACCCACCCTCTACTGATATCCTCCTCCAACGACCACACTAGAAGGCACTTCGCGATTCGCCATCCATTTGCTGCCTGTACCCGGATGTCCAACCAAACCGCCCGGAAAGTTCTGATTGCCCATCCCAAACCAGAAAGACGCCATTGCTTTAAATCGCACCGCTTGTCCGTGTCATTTTCATCCTTGGACCACGTCCCTCCTTAAATATGATCTCACTGCTCCTCAACCGGGTAAAGATGGGCCCCGATCATCTTGTTCATTTGGAACATATCCACCTTGGATTGTTTGAAAATCGCGTGCATCTTGTCGTCGCAAATGATTTGTCTCTTGTTTTCCGGATCCTGTAGGTCGTTGCCCTTGATGTGTTCCCAGAGCTTCTTGACAACCTGCGGGCGAGAGAGCTGGGGTAAAAAGTCAGCATGTTATTGTCAGACAGCATGTCATCCCGGAAAAATCATACCTGAGGTTCGCCAAGCAACTCTGACAACGGCTCGCTCAAGTTGAAGGGCTTTTGGAATCCACCACCAGCCTTGCGTTTCGGCGCTTCGCCGCTGTCCTCGACGTCGCTGTCATCAATCTTCTTGTCGCTCTTCTTGCGGGGCGCCTTCTTCTTCTTGGCCGCTTTGCTACCCTTACTGCTTGCGCCATTGCCGCCTCGAGTTGTCCTTCCTCTTGCCATTTGGTTTTCCTGAGCTTGTAGCTTCGCAGCGAGCTTGGCATCGGCGTCTTCAGACGAGTCCTCACGCTTCTGTCTCTTCCGGACAGGCGCGACGGACACCTCAATCTCGCCATCAATATCATCGTCGTGGCCGTTGGCTTCGCGCTTCGGGGCGGGACTTGCGGAGTACGAGTCGGGGGCTGCGTCGTTGGAACCCGAGATGGCGTCGAATCGCTCTTCTATCAGCGCCTTGATGGCATCCTGCAAGCATCTGTGTTAGCTTTGACCCAGGTTATTGGTAGGTGTATGTCTGCAGCTGGCAGTGGGATTACTGGGTATATAATTACCTTCTGAGCAGTCAGGTCCTTCCCGCCAAGAGCTTTCTCCAGACCCAAACGGATCTTCTTGCGAGTGATGGTCGTCAAGTCCGCGGTCGCAAGGATGCCATCTATGATGGCCGTGTAGTTATCCTCATCTTCAGAGCTCACTGCAGAAATCAGTTTAGCGACAGCGTTGCAGGCAACAAGACCTAAAGCGCAGGAACATACGGGGAAGAGACATGTTGCTGCCAGAGTGTATGATGGTCCTGGAGTAGTGTTTTGTAGATGTGTCGATATTCGATCCGGAGCGACCGATAGTCGCAGGTGCACGGTCGGTTGGAGTTGTCGCGCAAGAGTATTGCGAAGCACTTGGAGACGCAGCTGGCCGGTCGATTGTGGAAGAAGCTGAGGGATCGGCAAGAAGAGAGTTGGTAGGTGGATTGTTTGGTTGGCCTCGAATCAAAGCATATCTTTGACGTTCCGTACCTCAGCTTGGCATCAGTGGGAAGGCGCGAGGGGCATGAGAATTCGAATTCGAATGGAAGATGCAAAGTGGGACAGCACGATCCACGCCTCTGGCTTCTTTATATCGCGGATGAGTGCATCAACGTGCCGGCACACACACACACGCACAAGGCTGAAGAGAGGACGATCTCTTGGTGGGGCGTGGCTGCCAAGGCGGGAGTCGCGAAAGAGAGCTGATGCACCTGATGGATATAACGTGTCGCTGGGAGACGTGGAAGTTGATCTGGGGGTGTGAGAATGGACCGGCGAGGTTTTGTCCCAAACGACCAGATGCGACGGATGTGCGGTGTCGGTGCAGTGTGTGCAGTGTGCAGTGTGTGGTGCGATCTGTGGCCCGGGCAAGAAAAGGTGAGGCTCACACTTTCCGATGTTTGGTTCTTGTTCGGTCGGCACCCTAGCGTGTGGTCTGTTCTGAAGACCGGGTAGTCTGTTGGTAGTGTATCTGTACGTAGTACGGGAACTCCGTAAGGTGAGGTAAGGTCAGGTATCCGCAGCAGGGGAGAATGAGATACCTCAGCAACCAAAACAACGCCGACGAATAGAAAGCCCAAGTGCGGGTTATGTGTGGCTGAAAGGATGGAAAGACAGAAAAAAAAGTGGTCTTTGGGTTCTTTCTTGTCTTGCAGTTGTGCATTAGACGTTGGCTCGTGCTGCCATCAGTTCCAGACCTCGACGCCGTGCCAATCACATTGCCGAATTGACTCCCGGCTGATGTTCCTTCGGCAGCCCCACCCCACACCGGTCGCCTGACAAGCATCACGTGGCTCGGCTTGCATTATACGGCCGGGGAAGGCGCCTCTGGAGGTTTCACCCAGTCTTATCTCATTGTCATGGTATGTCTACCTTAGTAAGCAAATCAGGTAGTCATATTCAGTCGAATTCAAGTAAGATAATTACCATATATCAAGATGAATTAAAGTGCCTATAGAGAGTATTTTTTAACCTACCTACCTTGCTAAGTATTGATTATGTCTTATGTCGAATTCGATCGCATGTCAGCACCTTGTCTGGCCGGTGGGATTCTTTTTCGGTATGTAAGCCAATCAGAAACTAGATTAAGTCTCGGTGAGGTCTAGAGCGGTTCCCAAATCGGCAAAGGCGCACTCCACTATTCCAAGTTAGCTTCGGGCCAATGAAGTCTCTGGCGGTCACTGCTTGACCATCATCTTCTGCAGACTATCAGTCTATCTACTGCGCTTGTGTCTAACCGTTGGATTGGTGACGTCGGTCTCTCTGATCGCACTTGAGTTATTCCATATTCTTATTACTCTCACTACTTCTGTCCTACATCGTCTAGATTACGCCGTTCTTTGCTTCGAGATTGCTATAAGGGAGGCAAGTCAGGATGCTCAACCCTTTCAGCATCTTCACCCAGGCCTTTCCGCCGCGGCCGCAATTCACAGAGAAGGATATTCCCGATCTCTCTGGCAGAGTCAGTGTCTCACGTAATACCCTCATCATGACTCGCTTGATACTTACACGTCGCAGATCTGCATCGTTACAGGAGCAAACACTGGTGTTGGCAAGGAAGTCGCACAAATTCTGTACTCCAAGAACGCCACTGTCTACGCTACCTCTCGTTCGGAAGAAAAGGGCCGTTCAGCCATCAACACTATCAAGGAGGCGGTACCTAATTCTACAGGAAAGCTGGATCTCCTCACTCTGGATCTGGCCGACCTCACCACCATCAAACCCGCAGCCGATGCCTTCCTCGCCAAGGAGACGCAGCTGCATCTTCTCATCAACAATGCCGGTGTCATGATGCCGCCTCAGGGGAGCAAGACAGCCCAGGGGTACGAATTACAGCTGGGAACAAATTGTGTCGGCCCGTTCCTCTTCACCAAGTTGCTGACGCCGACTCTGGTGCAAACGGCCAAGACGGCACCCAAAGACAGTTGTCGTGTTGTCTGGGTCTCCAGCTCAGCCGCGGAGGTCTTGTCGCCCAACCCTGCCATCGAGATCGATAATCTCGACTATAGTAGAGATAGAATCAAGGAGTTCAAGTACGGCATCAGCAAGGCAGGCAACTACTTCCACTCTACTGAGTTCGCCAAGCGACACAAAGCCGACGGCGTCATCAGTCTAGTAAGTCTTGGCAAATATCTGGTCAAGAGCATGTGAAATGGATAACTAACTATCCAAAGGCCTTGAACCCAGGAAACCTTTCATCAGAGTTGGATCGCCACATCACGGCGCTGATCCCGACGCTGTTCAGAAAAGCCACCACATATCCTGCCATCAATGGCGCTTACACGGAATTATTTGCGGCGTTATCTCCCGATGTGACCATTGAGAAGACGGGCGATTGGGGTGCGTCCGACCTTGTCTGCTGAATTTTATGAGTTGCTAATCGGACGTCTTACAGTTGTTCCCTGGGGTCGTTTTTATGCCATTCGGGATGACCTTGTCCAGGGCTCCAAGTCCCGCGAAGATGGCGGTACAGGTCTCGCCGAAGACTTTTGGAAATGGACTGAAGAGCAGGTAGCAAAGTATCTCTAGTGTACGAGCTTGTTCAGTCACCTAAGAAGGTCCAAAAATCTGCCAAATTTCGTCGTTCACCACTTGTTACTAGGGGCAAATCCAGCAATACAACATAGCCAGGGAATCGTCAAGTGGTGAGTCACTAGTTCTTCATCACAGTTCAGACATCAAAAGAGCGGGCAGCTTTGGTATCGTACACTGAAGAATATATTCAAAACTAAGTCCAATAGGCACAGTGACAAGTCTTATATGCAAAAATGATATGTACATCAGAAGTGGTCCTATCCTCGCCTCGGAGTCCAAAGGGACACCCGAGCAGCTTTCGTTCTCCTCAAGCTCCTATCAACAGCGGAAACGCTTAGTTGCGCTTGGCGTGGTTGCGGCGGCGGCGGCGACGGCACGCGGGCTTGGCGCTGGCAGAGGCAGCGGGAGCAGAGCTGGTGGTGGCAGCAGCCGGGGTAGTGGCAGCGGGAGCGGAGGGCTCCTCGGAGACAACGGGAGCGGCAGAGGAAACGGGGGTGGCGACGGGAGCAGAGGAAGCGGGCTCAGACTCGACGGGAGCGGCGGAGGAGACGGGGGCAGCGCTGGTGGTAGGGACGGCGGTGGTGGTAGGAGCCGCAGTGGTAGGGGCGGCAGCAGCGGGAGCAGAGGAGGAGGCGGCGGCGGCCGAGGTGGCGGCGGGGGCAGCAGAGGAAGCAGGGGCGGAGGAGCCGGTGTCGGAAGACCCGGAGCCGACAGCCTTGGTGATCTCGCCGTTCTCAATGTAGACGCCGGAGAAGTAGAAGTCCTCGGTCTCGTCGGCGTAGCCGTCGCGGGGGAGCTCGAGGACACCGACGTGCCAGTCGGCACCGTTGCTGGAGGCGGAGGCAGTGACGGGGGCAACGACCTGAGTCAGGGCCTCGGCGCCGGTAGAGTGCCAGAAGCCGACGGAGCCGCCGTCAAAGTCGATCTCGTAGGCAACGTTGTGCCAGACGTCAGCGTCCCAGTTGACGCTCCACTCGGTCTTGCCGCCGACGACCCAACGGAGGAGGGGGTCCTCGGTGCCGGTGGCGCCGCTCTGCCAGCCAGACTTCATCTCGACGAAGTGGCTCTCGAAGAAGGCGATCTGGTGCTCCTTGTTGAGGGAAGGGGCGTTGGTGTCGCTGCGCTTCAGGGAGAAGTGGTAGAAGAGCTTGCCCTTGCCGATGGCGGCGGTGGTCTGGGGGATCAGCTCGGTACGGCGCATGGTCTGGCCGTTCCAGAAGGAGGTGCTGGTCAGGGAGATCTTGGCACCCTGCTTGGAGCCTGTGTCGGCCGGGTTCTTGAAGTCGGAAGAGAGGTTGACGTAGTCGGTGGTGGCGCCGGAACCGTGGATGTAGTACTGGTAGGGACCGACCTGGCTGCTCCAGGACCACTTGTCGAGGTCAGTGGCAGAGGTCATGTCGTTGAAACGACCATCCCAAAGGATCTCGCACTGGGCGCGGGTAGCCAGCAGAGCCGCGCTGGCGATGCTCCATGTGAACTTCATTTTTGCGGGTTGGTTGTGTGGTTGGCTTGGGAGTTTTGGGTGTAAGTGAGCGTGTATATGCCTAAACCGACCGGGCGGCTTGGAGAAAGCTTGAATTCAAGGGTTTGAGCGAATGGAATGTTTCGAAAAGAAAGAGAGGACGCAGGTCGCAGCAATCGATGCCTTGGCCTTGCTTGAGGAAGTTCAATGTACGATAGAGAATGTAGCTAAGCTCAAACGAAACGAGGCATGCGTTACGCGTTGGCAGACCAGCTCCTTTATGTAGGTCTCCCTCGGCTTCCTGGACTTTAACCCTTGGGATGAAGATTCAACTCCATCCTCGCTCCGTGGTTCCTGGAAAGGAGATGACCCCGCAGGTTTAGCTGCGAGGAATAGAGTAGAAGGCTCCTTTGGGGAGATGGGCCTGGCAGAAGCACTTTGTTTCACGGCAAGGTTTCCCGGTTCAGCGGATGCATCTTGCAAGCCTCTGTCAGGCGAATTAGGCCTGTACGCACTACTACGTATTCCGTCCGCAGTGAGTGGGATTAGATTGCGGAGTTGTCCCTGACTTCAGGTGAGGCCATGGTTGATGAGGCCACGCCCTTTTCCGTACGTGTGCGGCCTGCAGGTCCCAGGTTGCGGCGGCAAGGCAAGGCAAGGTAAGGCATGCCCCATACACAGTAGCAACTTTGGCTAGGAGCAAAGAAGCAGAAACTGCAGGATCCCGCAGCGAAAGGAGTCATGGAAAGACCAGGGCCTGGGCTCGGGTGGGAGAGACGGACCAACACAGCCAGAGAGAAATGAACAGGGTGCTGAGTGGGCGCTTGATATTAATGAAGTCGAGCCCACATCTCGTTTGCATCTTGTATGGATGACGATGCAGGGGGTGCTACAAGACTGCGAGAACGCACGTTGAAGTCGAGAGAGAGCCGCCCAGGTGCGAAGCTTCTGCTGGTGGGAAATTTGCACACGGGGCTCGGGGTGGGCCCGCTAGGCCGGATCGGGGCCGTCTCCAAACGAGCAAGCCGCAAGCGCCCCTTTTCGGCACAACCGGGAATACCCTTCTTTGGGCCTTCGCCGTAAAGCACCCAAGTTCATCCCAGAAAACTCAATTTGAGAAAGCCACCGCCCGCCTGTCAAACTGCAAGCCTTTTTGCCGCCTTCATCGGCTGCCACCGTCGGGTTGTGGGCGACGGCGTGGCGGCGGAAAAGACTTCCAATGACGTGATGTGTTATACCCGAAATAACGTTCTTTTTTTTCGGCTATCGCTCACCTTAATTCACCTTAAGTATGTAATAGGACACAAGGGTACAGATACACTGCTTATTGGGATTTGATTGTTAAGAAGTGCGAATAAGGCGGGAGATCTCCCGAGATAGGCATGCATACCCGGGCCCGAGACTGTGGACTGTCCGCAAGCCGCCCCGATTTTCTCCCTAGGGCTTCAGATCAGCCCTGATCAATAGACAAGCAAGATATGCATGACAACAATCATCATTATGGAGAGAGGACAGCTATGTTAGGTCGAGAAAGGGCAGCAACATTTGAATTGGTTCATCATTCCTGCTCTCCAGATACTTTCATCAGTCCATCTTATATTCCTGGCTAACCGACCAAAAACCCGCTTCTTCATCTTCTATAGTCCTGGCTCTCATCACGACCTGAGGTACTCACAAACACTTTTGCCCCAACGCGACGCCCCCTTGTATACCCACATGCCAGGCGCATTACCCGTCTTCAACCCTTCTATGGCGTCCGCAAGTATGAGCCCGCACCCCTCCTTCTTCACCTCTTCTATAGGCGTGAGATACGTCTTAAATGAGAACATGATCGCTCCCGTCTTGGGAAGTCTGGTCAAGGTTTGTAGTTCTTGGCGCAAACGAGCCTGAGTGGGTGGTATGAGCTTTCTGGTAAACGGTACTTTGAGTGTCAAGGAAGGCCATCTCACCTTTGAAATATCGACATCCTCATCCTCTTCTGTCTTGTCGCCTTCATAAATGTGCAAGTTGCTCGGGCTAAAGAGGTTCTCATGCGTCGAAACAGACCACTATATCAATTCATCAGCGGAAGGACTCCGTATCCAAGAACAAGCAAGCTCACATTCATCCGCTTGACGCTCTTTCCAACCTGTAATCGAGAGAAGAAGCGCTCCATGCTTGCACCAATCTTCTCATATGACGGCACCGGGGTGTGAATGTCCTTCATCAGCTTTCCGAGCTTGTTGGACGGATCGAATCCAGCAGGATGGCAGCAAACGAACGCCACGCAACGATGGCCCTCTGGTGTCTCAACGAGCAAAAAGATGTCGTCTTCCACGGTCTCTCCAAGAGCTTTGAGGGCAGTCACGGGGTCCTCCGGCGGCGCGAGGGGCAGTGATGTCTTGGTAACGTGGTTATGGAACTCAGTCTTGTCCTCGGACAAGGAAAACATGGTTGGATATCGCTTCGGCAGATACTCTGAGAGCATATAAGTCCAGACCTCATGGAGAGCAGGTAGGCCTTCTGGCACAGCGCCCGCTACCGTTGACGTATGCTCTTCCAGAAGCTGACGACGCTCGGTCACTCGATCAAGGTAGTTGTTGTCTATAATGATGAGGTCTTCTGGCGGACTTGCTTGGATGGCTAATATGATGATCCGTTAGAATGTAAGCAAGATTCATGTGCAAGGTTCGTGGTACCCATGGTGATGTGATAGACTGGCTTGAATGGCCGGTGCTTGGCAGGATCGATGTTCTGCCAGTCAAAATCTTTCAGAGGCGTTATGTCGGTCTTTTCGTCTGATTTCTCCTGCAAGCTAGTCCCGACGAGGTTTTCCTTTACGCAGTCAGACGTCTCCGTGGGATCTTTGAAAGATAAGGAGACACACCTTTGTGGCATATCGCCACTTCCACCTCCATGCGGAGAATAATAGTACAGCTACAGCCAAAGCCGAGAGGAGGAACATATCGGCGTTTGGAAATAATGTGAAAGGCGAAGTTTAGAAGGCAAAATGTTTAAAGTGACTAAAAGAAGATGGGATGAGTTGAATCGTTTCAGCGCAAAAACGAACTCTTGACGTGACTCAGGATAACAGCCAACTTATACGGCGAGGATCCCTGATACAAGTCGAGGAGCCGAGAGGAGACCGTTATCGGCCCAGACAGCCGGACTCATTAAGTCTCCGCTAGTACTGGGTAGACTTTCCGAATCGTGGGATCCCGCCCCAGAGCCACGATACCTCTTTTGGGCAATAGATTGAGACCACCGGCAATCATCTGGCCTCGATTGGCTGGGCCAATAAGATGCATCTCATTTGGGCAGTGGAAAGAGACCCTACCCTACAACGCATGCCGTGTTCTCCAACTTTGCATGCATACATCAGACCCAGCGTAAATAGCGTATCAAGCACATAGTGTGGCATTCTACCACGCAGTAGATCTCCCGCCTGGAATGTTGACATGACTCCGATGCTTCCCCGCAAACGCCTTGGCTTGCCACCCCACAAGACGACTCCAACGGATCTGATGATGTCGGGCTGTAGTGTCGCGATGTC